TCTGATTGATCTTTATGATGCGCCAACGCCCCTGACAATGTTGTTCGAGAAAGGATTGCACTCAATGACTATTTTTCTGTTCTATTGGAAATAACTACACTTACAAAATGTGTTGTATTTGTAATATATTGTGATCAAATTACTGCTCATAAGATACGCTGTTATTAGTTTGTTCTGTTTAGTTTGTTTCTATTTTCTTTTTGTAATTTATTGAATATTTGTACGCTTCAGGTAATTGAATTAAGTTTGTACTTCTTTTAGTGTTGAAGTAAGTTATGACCTTTATAATGTAATGTTATAATAACATATTGCTCGAGTGGCGAATTTCTTTTTACTAAGTATCAGAACTTTGACATGGAAAGAAATCTTAAGAAGAAGATAGATAAATAGAAGAAGAAGAACTATTCTGTTAAGTTCTTCACGCCTAATCTTATAATTTGATTTTAATAATCTCACTTCACCTCACTATGGTAACCAGACTGCTGATAAACATAATTTATTACTTATATATTAGTAAATACATACATATTATAGATAAATTACTCCCAGATACAGAACAAATATTTGTAATCGTCACACAAATATTTGTTGGGAATCGAACCCATGACCTCTGGTTTAGCAGCCAGGATACTAACCAACCAGTCTGGCCAGCTAGATACATATAGTAGGTCAAAACCTCCTTTCTAAGGAGACGCCTATGTCCTGCAGTGGACTATTAAGGGCTGTTGATGACAATGATGATGATCACCACCATCATGATGCTAACCGACAGACCAACAGGCAGAATTGCTTATGACTACAATGAGAACATATGTAGTAGCAGTAATTTACTTGATAAATTTATTTAAAACTTACTATTGATTGGCAGATCATGAGAAAAGTTGTGTGACCTCAATACTGAAGCTTGATTCCTGACGCAACGACACAGACAAGATTTTTCACCTTCTTTTTGTTTTTTCTTTCATTTATTTTTTACCTTAAAATATATTAGGGATATATTTTAAACCAGGAAATAATCAGTTGTAACTAAACTAGACAACTGTCTGTAAATACTGTAATGATGCCGACCCACACTTCATTAAATAACTACTTAGTAACATCGTCATAAACAGTAGGCGTTATGGTAGCTCATCGCTTGACATGTACGCCAAGGAGAAAGAAATTAGACAATGAAATAGACTGTTTATCATTGAATTTTGTGAATTCTCTGACTACTAGAATTATAAAAAATTATAATAATTTTGGGCAATATTTTTCTGTTTTGTTTTAAACACGCATAGCTGCTTTCATAATTAAATTAATCATGGAGATAGCCGTAAAGCACACCCTTGAGTAATATGTACGTTTGATTTCATTAAAAGCAGCTAAATCTAACAATAACGTGCATCTGATCCCAAACAAGGCAGAGCCAGAGGTAACCAGACTACTGATAAACATATATTTCTAAATAAGATACATTTCACATAGACACCGTACAAACGGTCGTGCTCATCACACAATTATTTGCCCTGGATGAGAATCAAACCCACGACTTCTGGCTTAGAAATAGTGTTACTAACCACTCGAACAACACAGGCCAGGCAATTTAAATTAAACAAAATAAATTGTGATTTATACAATGGCATGGGTGAAGTAACAAAGAAAATCCAATAATGGTTATAATAATAACATAATTGAAAATAAGGCATTTTAATCACTAAGTGTAACTAATAATGTAATATTTGACTTCTTTGTATCTTTAATAAATAGAATGACACGGTCACTAATCACTACACAATGTTGGTTGTCAACAAATTAAATAACAATTTATCTCAAAAATTATTGCTGTAGAAGTTCGTTGCGACTTGCGAGACTTGGGTTTTTTATGTTAAATTTTTTAATGGGACTAAAGATCGTTGGTGGTAAAATTTTGACCGTTTTTAATGTTTTTTTTTAAATGACCAGTACTTTGAACTGTCAATGTGACTTGGCAGGTGATAACATATACTGAACACACGAGTTTCATGAAGGCGTTTTTACACAATTTTTAACTTGATGGCAGATTGCTTAAAAATGTTTGCTTTTGTTCTACAATCATGAAGTATTCCAAATATGCTTCCGTGTGCCATACTTGTTTCAAAAGTCCAAAGATTTTTCTTAATTTTCTTAATTCTTCTGTGCGTGTGTATGTGACTGAACTCCTCATCAACGGCTGGACCGATTTCATGTTTTTTTTTGTGTGTGTTGATTCGAGAATGGTTTATATTCACAATTCGGTCACTCCAATATTTTTTTTAGTTTAAGACGTGTGTATAGGACTACGTCTGTCGGGTCCGCTAGTATATGGACGACGACCGGATGGCGTAGTGGTTTCTGTAACGGACTGCTATTCCAAAGGTCGCGGGTTCGATTCCCGCTCAAGTCAAACATTTGTGTGCATGAACATTTGATGTTTGATTTGGTCTGGGTGTTTCTATGTATAATATGTATGTATTTACAAAAAAAAAAGTATATATGTATTTATATCAGTTGTCTAGTACCCATAGTACAAGCTCTGCTTAGTTTGGGACTAGATGGCGTTGTGTGTATGTGGTAGAATATTATTATTATTATTATTATATCTATAAAAAAGAAACTGACAGACTGATTCACTGATTGATCAATCAACGCACAGCTGAAACCCCTTTTTTTCCGTGCGGAAATCCCCTCGGTATCCGAGGTACCTATCGGTGGCATGTCGGACTCGAACCGACTAAAACCGCACGCCGTCTCGGGTACTGATAGCCGGGGAACCATGTATACCCTAGAAAGGAAGTCCCTGGTGCCCCGACATACCTCGGGCCATCTACAGACGAGTAGACGACCCCCCCCCCCCCCACAGCTGAAACCCCTAGCGGTTTCAGCTGCGCGTTGATCTAGAATATTATGACTACATTCAAGAAAAATTATATGTATTTTAGATTTTAAATTATTTAGTCGGTAAACTGATGGATCTGATGGGCGGTCAAAATAAAATGAAGCAAGTGATGTTTCTAGAAAATTGTGTAATTATTAGTTGTTATTTTTATTGCATTTGAAAACAAACCCTATTTTTCCATTGTATGCCAATTTTCAAAATTGCAGATTTAGAATTAAAAAAGTTATGTCAAAAAAACTAATTGAAATGGCTGACCTGTAAAGTTCAATAAAAGACACAACCGACACTATTCTACAACTATGACGAAATGTTCCTTAGGTGACGTGGGTGTGCACTGAGAAAGGATTTTTAAAAGTTCAACCCCTCGGGGTGCACAATGGGGGTTGGAAATTTATATGAAAGTTCGTTATTTTTAAGTTCGTATTTAAAGATAAAGATATATTTATGTGCAGAACATGTGTGTGTACAACAATACTTAGTCAGAAATATACATATAGATATGTAGTGTAGAAAACTAGTTGACGACCATCTTCGTTTGAAATGATTTTAAACTTATTACCGACAGGTGGTGTCCGAGGGGATTTCCGCACGGAAAAAAAAAAGGTGAATAATTATTCATAAAAGAGTTAAAAAATATCTCTACTCATTCGTAAGTACAGATGCAAAAAGGAATTTAATGCCTCGTGAGCATTAAAAAATTGATTGAATTGTTTAGGTCGGCAAATGAGCAGACGGGTCATCTGATGGTAAGCGACTACCTCCGTTCATGAACACCTGTGACTCAAGAGTCACAAGAGTGTTGATGCAGTTTGAGTCCCACCACCAGAAATAGGGGGAGGTGGGCTTTAAAGTCCGGTGACCTCACTCACTCGGTGATAAAAAACGAAAGAATTGCTTAAAACTCCGGTTTTATGTGAGGTACAAATCTGGTTGAGCCCGCCCATATGTGCCGAAAGATGGCAAAAAGTTTTAGAGTTTATTACTGCAGTGATTGGTAAAAAAATTATTGATATGTGTTTTTTAAACATCTCTGAAAGGTCGCGCTCCGATAGTGTGGCTTTAACGATTAGTGGTCGGTAAAGCCGCTATCAGACTATGTTTCACAGAATATTGATAAGCCTAAGCACGAAAGTGCCTGTTCAGAGATCTCATTTTTTTTGTTACACATCTACTTGTAATATTTGTGAGATGGTAAGCAAGTCCATCCGGTATACAAAAACTTATTAAAATGTAAAACGAATTAACGAAAACAGTCATGGCTTGCTATATTTATTATGAATAATGCTGGTGTGGTGTTGTGTTAGTTATTTACCAACTTACACTCATGTAAGTACACTGATTAGAACTAGATTAAGATGTAAATTATGGATTTAAAATCTGTAGTAATTTCTCCACCTCTCTTATCCTTCTTAGAAGCACATAAATTACCATCGTAGTTTAAGAGCATGAGCATTTAAGGGTAGATTCAAACCCATGTAGTGTAAATGACTTAAAATAAATATCTATATCAATAAATAATTCTATGCTTTGTCTTACGAAATAGACAACTCATTTATGTAGATAAGATCGATATGTATTTTGAATCAACCGGAATGATTCAAGTAAATATGACACATGGTTCAAATATAAAGACACTAAAGGAGAAACTCAGTTCAAATCAAGCCTTCTTAGTGTGTATTTTCATGAAACACTAAAACTACGCATGAGGAAAATAGTATAATTGATTATACACCCTTTCACGTGATATTAGGCACAATTGTTTATTTCTTATCATTAAAATTATTGAAATTAACGCAGATAATGTGTATTTGTCACATGACACATGATTGGGTATATTGTCTGTTAAATTGGTTCGATATGCATGTTTATTGTGTAACGTTTTATAATAATAGAAAATCAAAGCATATAAATGATTTTTCATTGTAACTATCAAACTAACAAATAATAACGGTAATTGATTTTATTATCAAAGCTAAGGTAATTTGAATAGTTCTGACTACATGGTTGAAAGCCTCCTTTTCTAAGCCATTAGATTTAGTCAGAGATCCCTCAGACTCGCAATACATTTTACAGACTATGATGACAATAAATTGAGTTAGTTTACCTGTACATCTTGTATGTCTCTGCAACTATAACTACAGCTTAACACTTTAGCTCACGGAGGATCTCACATCACAGGTAGAGTCCACAACACAACTCAACTTATAGAATAGAATATTGCGGTGCACTATGAAATGTATTTGTCGTTGGGGAGCTGCAATCCGCGACGGAAGACATTCGTTGATTGATTCAATTAGTTTAATGTGGTCGAATGTTCACTCAGCCAGAATCCGCTGTGCAGAGAGACTCCTTCCGCGGCCGTGGATCAACTGATACTAGCGACGCTGTAATCTTTTATCAACACGTCCTTTTGTGGCCAAGCACTCTCTATCTGCAACTAATTCTGTCCTGAGACAATAACGCGGCGGTCGATCGCTCGACACAGATTGGTAATCACCACAATAGGATACCACTGATATCTAAATGTTTCGATTGGTTTGTCACTTATGTTTGTTCTGTAATAAACTTTACACTAGTACTTCGTGAACTAGACAAATAAAATTAATAATATAATTTATTTTAATGTAAAGTTAATGATTCGGTGTTGATAACGATTCTCATAATTATTTTATAATTATCTAATTAGATAAACACACATTAAAGTAAACTACTAATTAATAAGTTTGTAGTTAGCATTAGACATCGAATTATTGTTTGCCGGGCCACAGTCTGTGCATTTTTAAAGATATGCTCTTAAGCTATTTCTTCTAAGGCTAAGGCTTCTTTAAGTGTCGAGCCAGCAGCATCAATTATATATACTACATTAATTCAATATGATCTTTCGTAATATCAAATGCTAACTCGTGTACACAAATAACATTACTATGCCATATCTTACTGTCTTAAATTCTGTAGAAGTTATATAAGCGATAAACATTAGTCAATAAGTACCTACTGTCATTCATGCTTATATTATTAATGTGAAAGTGAGTTTGTTTGTTACGCTTTCACGTCTAAACCACTTAATCGATTTCAATAATTCTTTCGCCAATGTAACGCTCTATTAACATCAAATAACATGGGCTACTTTTGCCCGCGATAACCGACATACACGCGGACGCAGCCGCGAACAAGAACTAGTAGGTATAGCATAAAACTCAAACTGTTCATAATTATCCTTACAAATAAATAGACTATTACGTATACTTATTTACTTATTGATTAGAATAGAACAGAACAAAGTAATGTTATGTCATCACACATCAACAGCCTTTAATAGTCCACTGCTGGACATGGGCCTCTATTTACAAAGGAGGTTTTGGCCTACTATACCACGCTGGCCAGACATGTTGGTACAGGGCTTGTGTCAAGTCGGTGCTGCGTCTGCTCTTGGGCGACTTTTGACCCAGCGTTACAACGAGACGGCTGTACACAGGGGTTGACCTGTCAATGGCTCTGACCGCTCAGAATAGGGTACGCCTCTGGCCTCTAGCCTCAGACGATATTGGCGGTTAGAGACCGGTACTCCCCCGTGGGATTTAGAGACGGAATTGCTCGCCGAAGTATATCTGCGGACGATTGAGTTCCGGGTTTATAGGGGCAGTCGGCCCCCGCCCGAATAGATACGAGAGTGGCGTGAAGCCGCTCGCCGAGCCACGATGGATCGTTGGTCGTCTCGGCAGGAGGCTCCACGTGCTGGCTTGGTCGCCGTGGAGTCGCTCCAGCCAGTTATCGTCGAGTGGGCAGGGCGGCCAAGGCGCGCTTCCCACCGCCGCATGCCGCCCTGAGTGTGGCCGTTGGTGGACGGGACGGGTTTTCCCCTCCACCCGCCATAACGGTGAGGAAGCGACGCGTTAATAATAGCTGTTCCCGGATCCCTCCTATTACAGGCGCAAAATGGCACATCGTGTGATCGTTTAGACGGTTCGATTCCGACACACCATCCCGACGCAAACCCCGGTGGGGTGACAGCCCGAAGGGGTTTCCACACTTAAAAAAAAAGGGTTTTTGTCAAGTTTAGCGTAGTTAGCTCCCTTAGCTCCCTTAGTCGCCTCTTACGACACCCACGGGATGAATAGGGGTGGAAACAACACTCCGTATTCTTAATCCGTCACCACACGGATGTAATGTTATGTATGCGTAGCCCAAATGTCGATATGAGAGCTGGTTATTTGGTTCTAAGGCTCAGCAAATAAACGCTCTCAATTGGATAATTCTGTGAGAATTGTCGTCTTGTAGTAAGTACATTCGCATGTTGTGAAGTTAATTACACTCAAGAATTTCGCATTGCTAACTCAACTTGAATTTCATAGTAAACTTAAAGAATATTCTGGGCCAGGCCAGTCCTGATTAAAGAAGTGGAAACCTCTTCAGAGAGTCTGTTAAAACAGCACAAATGTTATACTACTACTTTATCTATATACTACTTTATCATTCACCCATTTCAGAATAAACGTTACTTTAGTTATCTGTTTCAATACTTGCTATTTTCTTCGTGAGCACGTTAATTTGTGTCTTAGATTAAAAATCTAAAACCCTTGCCGTAATCAACTACTCGTGACGCCCACTGCTCCTTTGTATATAAACGTATAAGGCTCAACACTGACAGCACTTCATTAGCACATTAATCCGCAAAGTTATGAGTTCGATTCCTGCTCAGTATAAATATACCTATTGTACCTATGCATATGAGTATGTATATTTGTATTGATATGGGTGTATCTATGAAAAATATTTATGTCCCTATGTACAATTTTTTTATCTAAGTGTGAATATCCACTATAATATTATCCAATACAGCAATATATAGGCCTGAGCCTAGTTTGCTCTTAATACATTTAGAAAAGGCCACCGAAAGCGAGATTTTTCTCTCTATTCTCACTAAGTATTTTATTTTCGTACTAATTTATTATTTCATAAAATTTAAGTAAATTTTCTGGTTATAACTTCAAGGTCAAAATAAAATACTGGATGCAATACGCTTTTTTTTCCTTTGCGGATATCGCCTCGGATACCACCCACCTACTAGGGTACACATGGTTCCCTGGCTACTAGTAGCCAGGGAACCATGTGTACCCTAGAAAGGAAATCCCTGGTGCCCCGACGTACCTCGGGCCATCTACGGTGGGTAGGGCGCGCGCGCTCGGCAGTGCATCTCGCCGCCACCCCGGTCTGCTTCTGCTAGGGTGACAGATGGCCTCACCTGTCATTACGCTTATGGAGGACGGAGGTACGGACGTAATCATGGTACCGAGCGAGAGAATTCTAACCCCGATGGCCGCTACGAGGCCACGCCTCTGCTCCACCCACGCCGGGCATTCTGCCAGCGTGTGGAGCGCCTTGCCTGCGGTTCGGAAATCGCAGTGGTTTCACTCAGGCGTTGGCTGCTTGCGGATCAGACACAGGTGATCCCCGAAGCATCCTTTCCCGTTGATTACCTGCGTCAGCCGGTATGAGAGGGTCCCGTGATGCCTCTCGAGCCAATCCTCCAGAACGGGTCTTACCGCCGCAATAGAGGCGTGCCCGTGGATACTATAACCTGTTGAAACGGATGATGTTAAGCTACTTTGTGTATTTATATAAAAGTCCATGTATTAGTAAATCTTATTATACACTAGACTTAGACACGAGCGATTATTGCCTACAAAGATTTATTTATATTACATTAACTTACATACTTTTAATTTTTAATTACGCATTTTCGATAAGATTTGATTTGAGTTAAGCCACTAATAGGAATAGCTTTCTATATTCTTTTGTAAATAAAAGTTCTATTGACATAAAATTGTTGACCAGCGAATGCAGTTTTGTGGTTTTCCACACTGCATAAAACTCTTCTTGTACGCTTAGTGTGATCTGGTGGGGGAACTTGAGTATGTTTTTTAAGGGTTGCTTGGAGCACAAATAGTTTTCTGACGGAGAGAAATTTGCTATCTGCATATAATAAATGAGTGAGTGAGTGAGTAATAAATGATAAATGAGTATGATAGTTTACCAAGTATTACCTTCAGGATCGCTCTTTGTGCTCTCTCTATTTGAATGAACTTGGTTATGGCGGCTCCACCCCACACTGGTATGCAGTAAGTGATAACGGATTAGCAGATCGCTAGGTATATCATTCTAATAGTATCCATATCTGCGCAGTATCTAAGAGATTTGAAAATTTATACAAGTTTCCTAATTTTTAAAACGGTACTGTCAATATGATCGTAGCATTTCAATCCGCTATCAATCACTACACCCAGATACTTTATATGATTTACACAGGTAAGTGCCTCACACGAGCAGTGGACAGGATCGGAGCATGTATGAACCCTTATCATAAAGTCTGTTGCAATTTTATTCCTATTGTTAATACAGAAAGGCATAAAGTTTGTCTTACTTACATTCAGGGTTAACAGATTTAGGCAAAGCCAGTGTGCAACAGTTTGCAAGGACTTCTCTGCAGTGGTTCTGACCTCTGTCCACGTATTACCATAGATAACAATCGCGGTATTATCCGCATAAGTAAGGATTTTTGACTTTCGCAACGGCAGAAGACATAGGTCATTTATATAAATTTAAAAGAGTGCCGGCCCAATCACACTGCCCTGCGGAACACCATACGTAACAGTTTCTTCATCACTTATGCATGAACCTATTTTAACAACTAATTTTCTATTTTGAAGATAATCCTTAAAAAGGTCTAGGGGTTTTCCACGTATACCTATTGACTCCAGTTTCAGAAGAAGAAATTATTTTGAAATGAAGTGATAAAATGATATTTGTTTCCGCAAGTAAATCTTTTCAGATATTTTTACAAGTCGGACCTAGATACAGCTAGAAGGCGCCGGCATTTCTTAAGACTCACTCTGCAAAGAAACGCCGAAACAAACTACAGAGGTGTCTTTTATTTAAGTTCATGTACAGTGTTAAAGAGAACTATGCGAGTGAAGTAGAGAACTATGTGAGTGCAATATATTGGACGTGGTATCTGTTACTTACGTGTGGTATTCATGTTATATAGGACGGGCACAGATCTTAAATTATTACATATTAAGTCAAAAACGTTTTAGCCTTATATTTGGTATAAAATATATTATATCAAATGTAATGCTGAACTATCTACTCCACAAAATTATCTACTTATCACCTTGGGGTGATATAGAAATATTATAGTAGTTCTTTAATAAATTATAAATGAGAATATAATTTTAATATTACAATTTACAAACAATTGAAGTGAAGAATCTAGTATGCACGTAAAACCTTTCATTTGTTCTTTTGTCTAAGTTCAAACTTGACTGTCCATCATTTTAAAAGGTAGTTTTTAAAAGTTTAATTAAATATAGCTCTTCATGACTTTCAACGAAACCCTTTTCATTCTAATATTAGCAAATAGGTTATATCGATGTTTGAATATGATGTAGCAGCATTTGCTAAAATCATTATTAGCTACAGTAGAATAGAATACACCAACAACCTTGAATAGTCCACTGCTGGACATAGGCCTCCCCTTAGAAAGGAGGTTTTGGCCTACTATACCACGCTGCCCAGACGGGTTGGTATAGGGCTTGTGTCAAGTTTTCCTTCTCTCGGCAGTGCTGTTGTTCTGCGCAGCCTTCTCCCTTAGTCGGCTCTTACGACACCCACGGGATGGATAGGGTTGGTGACACTGTGTATTCTTAATCCGTCACCACACGGACACGGAATAGAATACAATAGAGCATAATCCTTTTGATTGCGTCACTCAATTTTTTTTTTATTAAGTAGCTTAGATAAAATGACTAGATTCAATACTTATAAAATTTAAAAGAAAAACAATAGACCAGAAGGCCAATTCTCGTAATAAAACTACGGTCACAATTCTGTTTCGATCAACTTTCGATCTCACAACTGTCATTAAAAGGTATTGCGATTACTTGGTGATCGGTACTCCGATGCGTTCCTGAAGCTCCTCCCGATTGCCGAGGTAGGCCGCCGCGGGGTTTAGTTGGTAAAACAGTTCTCGGGGACAAACACACGCCCTGCGTTTCCCCAACGGAGGCTATGGTGAAAAAAGCATCCCCGCGTAAAAAAAAAGGAAGACTGAGGCTAGTACACACAAATACAGTTGCTACAACTGCAGCTGTAGTTGAGATTACTCAATGAGTTAGACCAGTAATAGACCAAGGTTGTAAAGTCAATGTAACTATATGGTGCACCGGGGTTGGCGGAAGCCCTGACCGCCCATAATAAGGCATGCCGCCCTAAGTGTGGTCTCAGATGGAGGGGTGTTAAGGCCTACCGTGAGGTACATAGGTAGCGAGGTGATGTTCTAGAAAGGTAGTGATACATACACCATAAGAATTCGGCGGCTGGATACTGAATTGACTGTGCAAAAAGCTGAGGCCTTGATCCTACATGAGCCTTAGAGGGCTCGTTCTGGTTCGGGATCTTGGGACTCGTTCTGGTTCGGGATCCTGGGACTAGAAAAATCGAGGACCAGAAATACCAAATCCGCCGGGTCCTCGTGGAGGAGTGGCGGGAAAGACTTGGGCAACCAAGCTCCGGGTATGCCGTTTTATGGAGGATAGGCTCGAGAGGAAGCACGGGTCCCTCTCATATCGGCTGACGCAAGAAATCACCTATGTCTAATCCGCAACGAACCAACGCCTGGGTGCCACCATTGTGGTGGCTAAAGCGTGCGCTCAAAGGTGGGTGGAGCAGAGGTATGGCCTTATGACGGCCATTGGAGTGAGGATTCTCTCGCTCGGTACCATGATTGCAGCGATAGTACTGAGCGAGAGTGCGTGGAACTGCGCAACCTCCTTCTGCTAGCAAGTTATGCTCGAGAAGGGGCCGGAGCGGGCCTGAAGATACTTAGAACTGTCCCGGTCCGCCAGGCCCGGGAACGAGCCAGGTACTGCAGGTGGCTCAGGCACCGGAGCTCGTTGAATGACCTCCGTCCTGCATAAGTGCAGGCCTAGGGGTGACAGGTGAGGCCATCAGTCACCAAGAAAAAGGTCATCTTCATTATTTTTTTTTTAAAGACAGGAATAAATCCTGTGTTGTGGGGGACTTCACAAACATACATGAAACGGACACAAAATACACCCAGACTCCGAACAACAATTTGTTCACACAAAGTGTTCAAAGTCAAGTCAAGTCAACTATTAAACATTAAGTAAAACTAATCTTCTGCTTATTTATTTTCCACCTAAGTGACACAACCGAATTTGGTTTAAATTATTACATTGTGTACTTCCTTACACAAAATTGGTAAGCAAATCAGAGAGTAAAATTAGAAAATTAAATACACATAATTTTATTATTTTCCTTTGTAGCACAAAATATATTTTTAAATTAATAACTAAACTGATAAGTAACTGATTTATATTTTGTAAGTTGTAAGCTAAAGTAAGCCATCTCTAGTAAAACCAAATCACGTTTAGAAACATTAAATCAAATAAAACTATTGATAAACACATCACTTTCTCACACTAGTTTGACAATGACAGTTTTGACGAGACGTTTGCGGCTTTTTGGTTGTATAGTACTTTGGTGTAAACAAATTAATTTATAAATCGGTAAATGGTCTTATTGTATAGTTTTTTATAATAACAATGAATGCCACGAGTTTATATGTCTCAACATGTCGATTAATAATTTTGGCTGACGCTGCGGACAAATCATCGTGGACAGATTTATTTCGTTTGGTTCCTTATTTACGACAATCTTTATCTTGTACCGTATGTGGAAATCTTTTAAAGGAACCTTATACTCCAACGAGCTCAAGCTGTCAGCATCATGTTTGTAAAAAGTGTAAAGGTGGAAGAAAAAAACTTAAGCCTTCCTGTAGTTGGTGCAAAGACTACGACAACTATGCCGAAAACTTGCAATTACGTATACTTTTACAGTGTTATAAAAAACTTTGTGAATATTTCATGGACACAGATGTGTATAAAATATTGTTGGAAGAGGATGAGATAGTAGCCGGTGTTAATGGGGGTACTGTGGCTAGCTCTGGCTTGATAGACTTAATACAGGAAGGGGCAGGCTTTAGTGATGACTATAAAAGTACGGCTGGACTCTCTAAATCTGCTTATAGTATTTTGCCATGTGTGTACACAAATTCTGCAGGCACACAAACAAATACTGCTTCAACTTCAAATAGTTCAGAGCCTAGAGCTTCCAAAGGTTCACCAAACTCCAGATCTACATCTAATGGCTCACCTTTGTATTCCGTAATGTATGCTGGATCTGGAAACAAGATTACTATAAAGAGGAAAGCTATTGATGAAACGGACTCACCTCCATCCGAGTCCACAAGTCGTGAAAGCAAGGTGAGTTGATTAGTTATATCATAGGAAAAGTATATAGGGATCAAATCTGTTTAATCAAATATTTCAATATGACATTAAAATTTATTAAAAATAAATATTAACAATGTTAAATTTATAATACATTCTCATGGTCAAAATTAAATACATTAACTTTAAAGCCCCTTAAGAACTACTTGACATATTTGTTGTGTTGATCTGTTGAATGTGTCAGTTCAATAAACTAGCACATTATTATTTATAAACATTGTTGATTTAAAGTAAAAACAAAAATTATAATTGTAATAAAACTGCATATAAGATTCCTGTCTGTCAGTATTGACTTATAAACTTATAAGAAATAGTTGAGCCTCATGAGAAAAAAAATTGACAAGCAAACTCACTGTCTCCCAATCACCAGATAGTGGCAAAATTTAGAGATATGTAAAACAGTACCATTTTGCTGTGTGCTATTTACATTATTAGGATTCAAAGTAAGCAAACTAAAAATATGGATACTGAAAGAAACATGATGCAATTAATGCCATGCAGGCTGTATATTTATATTATGTGCAAAATATGCAAACATTTCAAGGAATAATTTACAGCTTATTTGTAGCCACATTAGCACATTCTTCGATCACTGTACTACAGCATATTATAATTATGTTTATATTTTAAAAAACGATCTGACTTTCTAAAAACATCTCTTCATAACATTCAAGTAATGATTATGTTATGTTCTACTCAGTATTTCATAATTATAATATGTTATAATTTATGTCTAGCAATCAAATCAACTAGGCTTTAAAAAGCCCTCAAATAGATCTCGTAGTTCAGCCAGCAGTAAAAGAAAAGGATGTAGGTGCGGCAATGCCACTGCCACTCCAGGCAAGCTGACTTGTTGTGGGCAGAGGTGTCCGTGTTATGTGGAGAGTAAACCGTGTACAGAATGCAAATGCAAAGGGTGCAGAAATCCACATAGACCTGATGGAATGAAGGTAAAGAAGTTTTATATTTATTTATATGGAGTAGACAAAAGTTTCTAGGTTCCTTATTTATGAGTAACTTTAGAGTAGACTTACACAGATTTTATTGTAATATTACAGGCTGGTTGTTAACTTTAAAGAAACTACTCTTAGGTACCTTGTAAAGTTTGTTGTAAGTATTATAAAATTAGGCAATAGTGCAATTAGTCAAGGCAAAATTCACATTTTTAAACAGAATGCGTGAATTTTCGCCTTATATGCCTTACATTTATATTGTATACCTGTATATTTTAAACCTGTTGATTTCTCGGCTGTAAAATTTTTTATTATTGTCTATTGATTCGCTTATCACTTGTAAGAATTCCAAACATTTTTTATCTCACACTACATGGTTAGGTGAAAATGTATGGTAAGGTAAATTACTGATTTAGGTATTTAGAAACTTATATGTCTCATATCCTAAACAGATAATGGACAATTCTTTAAAATGTATATCAAAAAGTATCATAATATGTATGAATATTCCAGGTGAGACCACACATACCGCAGTTGGACAGTTTACAAATGTCACTCAACTCAAATGAGGACACTTCCCCATCATGTTCCGGTTCTTTGGATAGTCTAGATGGTGACACTCTGACTATGGAGGCTATGGAAGAATCTCTCAATTACTCATCTGATCTTAAGACTTCCAATATTAAAGGTATTTACCTTATTTTAACAAATTATATGCTTGATAATTTTTTAAGGTGTCAAAAATTGAAATCTCGTTTCATAAATTTATTTAGAGCTATGTGTAATAAAATTTCTTTTTTTAACTCCAACTGACCTAAGATTCCTCAGCATACTAAACAATTGAGTGGTTTAAAATATTACAGCAAAAACCTAATGTAAGGAAAAACTCTTCCTCACTACCACATTAAACACATTTTAGTAAATTTTTGTGCTATAATTGGGCTTCATAGCTGCCGATAAGAATCTTATGCCATAGCATCCAATCAATGTTTTGAGTAGGAGTTTAGAGGATGCTGCTACTCCCAGCGAACTCTGAAATGATTAATATTGCACTTTAGAACTGTCAGGTACACGCTTGATATATGTGGAGTTAGGGTCATAAAATGGTCATGGGTCTGGGAACTTCGCTGACCCCGGATTTGTAATTCTAAGAGTGAATAACACTCACAACCACATTTCTACAAAGATTGCAGAAATATGGTTTTGAGTTTTTATCGGTAACGGCTTGCCATTAAGCCTCAAACCTCGGCATAAGGTCATATTTGCATGAGCGGGCTGGCGCTAGGAGGGGTCCGGATGTCTTAACAACAGCTGTTCCCGGATCCCTCCTGTTACAGGCGCAGAGTGGCACACCGTGTGGTTTTAGTCGGTCCGAGTCCGACACACCACCCCGCCGCAAACCCCGGAGGGGTGACGGTCCGAGGGGATTTCCACACGTAAAAAAAAAAAAAAAAAAAAAAAAAGATCGTTGCAAAATATCCAGTTTACACTACTGTGAGAATGCAGCATATGTAAGTGAATTAGCTAATTTGTGAATGTTGATATAATTTCAGTATATACAAGTCAATTGCAAGAGGTGTCGCCTTCATTACCTGCGACTATAATGATGGACGAAGACTTACCGGGTGACGACGATGACGACTTGAGTTCTCCTCACGAGTACACATTAGCCTCGCCGCACGACCTCGCCGACATGAACGACAACGACCATTCCCCCCAGTCACCTTCTCTCCATGAAGCCACCAGTGACATCGAGATCGATGTATGACATCCGCTTTCTCTCGGGAGTGACTAGGGTCTACTCAGTCATCGTCTTGGCACGAGCTCCGAGAGCTCTGAAGCGATGCTATATCAAGAAACGGTCACTCATCGCAGTGGAACTAGTCATATGCATGTCTCACTGGTATTAGGTGTAAGTTTTACTTTTTTATTCTAGGACTTTGTTGTACACTTTTAAAGTATGTGGTGACTGTCAGGTTCATGGACAATACAGATATAGTGAAGATATAGAAAATACTTAATCAAGTACTTAAATATCCAAAAAATTGCGTCTCATAATGGCTATGAGTAAAGGCATAATTCTATACCAAAGCCATATCAGTAAAGAAATGTGTGGAGAAATGTATTAAGCCGTATACGCCCGAACGAACACGGCTTTAATTTCTAAAATATATAGCAAAATTAATGTAGGAGTGTTCGACTTTTCCATGCGTTAGTTTATTGTTTAAAGAATGACTATAATTTTAATGCATTAGGTGTTAGCACCTTGTGTAAAAGTTGCAGAAATCTTGCTATTAAGTCGCAATAAAGTGTGTGGTGCACGTCATAAAATGAAAAGCTCCTTCCTTGGTCTAGTGTCAATTAGAGTTTTATAAAACAATCGCTAAACTTTTCCTAAGCGGGAACTATGTTAGCAATGTCGGCAAAATAAATTGATCTTATGAACGTATGTTACGCACTTCTTATAAAATGCAGTGTTTTTACAATAAGATAAAGATATGAATGGATTTAGAATTTTTCTTATTAATAAATGTACATTCAGATCATTCCTTTTTGATTTTGGCTTAGGTTTAGGTATTAGGGTAACAGCTTACCGATCACGTGTGCCATACGCTTGTATGTTTAATGAACTGCCACTTATAGTAATTTTATTGTCAAATTTATATTAATTAATTCATATTACTCGTATTATAAATTATTTACAAATTTTGCTGATTTGACTACACAAATAGGAAAGATTTCTTTTTTTGTGTATTAGTGGTCGAGAACCACTGAGGTTTCCCATTATTTTCCTATAAATACCCCTCTGACAACATGAATTCCAAATTATGATTGTACAAATAGTTAAAGGGTGAAAGTCTAAGAAACAAACGAAAGAAACAAACTCACACCCGGATTCATAATACGAGTTAGGATAAATAAGTGTATTTAGTGTACATAGAAACCCGATCAGTAAAACAAAACCCTAGTCTTCCCTTATCCTCAAATTTCTAAAATATCAAAACATGTTGGGAAAGAAACATTTAGGTCTTAAGTTATGTTTATTCCGACAGGCGCTGATATATATTTCTCTACTCCAGCACCTGTCCTACTATGGAACAATAAAAATAATCTTTCAAATTCAACTGGTAAAACAGACTTCAGCTTTGTTATATTAGTATGGATATTTCTAGTCAAGTCAGCAATTTGATGTAAATACAGCCTTAAGAAGACCACAAATTAATCACTGTTTGAATTAAGTATTTTATACATAAATGATCCTACAATATTAAACCATAGTGCCTAGGCTTTTCAGAGAGTAATTTATTAATATTATTGCACTCAGTTCTTCTGTTGCAAAACTAGTGTCAGTTGTGCGATCATTTACTTAGGTATTGTTTCGCAAAGACTCGTCTCATTTTGCGAGCCAGGTATTAAATGTTAACTAGATGTCATAAACAATTGGTAGGCAGAGGGATATAATATGCTCGCATTTTGCCGATTACAATTTAGTCTCAGTTATGTAAAATCGGGCAAGCCTATTACTGTCAACTGAGCACTTTGGGAATGAAATGTGGAAGTTGGGAGTAATATTGAAAGGCAAAGGGAAGGAAATGGATGTCGTTTATACAGATAGATTAGAGGTTGTAAGCAATAGCTTGAGTTCTGGAGAACAGAAGGTCAACTCTCGTAAAAAAAAAATCTTTCAAAATTCAATTCCGATCTACTCTTGATCACACAAATGACATAAAAGGTATTCTCATAGTAAAGTATTCCTAAAACTAGCAGAATATCTATTCAACTTTCGGTAACAATACGATGTAATCACATTACAGTGTCGAAGTTGATGTTTAAAACTTTACCTTTTATGAAATTTGTCAGGTCGACAGTACGTCGGAACTAAATTTTGAACGAATTCTTATTACGAGAATTGACCATTTGACTGTTGCACATATATCGTCTAGTTAATGTCGAATAACAATTCATTGTTGTTTTTTGGCCTTTTGTGTGGATTTACGTACCATGACATTTCAAAAGATGTACTGAACTCGTTTAGCTGATGAAGCCAATTTTCTGTACTTCTTACATCACTATTCGTGAAATTTTCTTAAAAATGTGTACAAAGAATTTCGTTCACGTTTTAATATATAGTTTCTGACTAAAAAGGCTCATATTGTGGCCTATTATTTTACTTCATTTTAACAAACATGGTCAAAAATATGATTTTTGACTTGAAAGTGTTGAAGACTTGCATAGTGTCGTATATGACTTGCCAAGGATATAATAAACATACTAAAGACCGGTTGTAGTTTAATTTAGCAATTCTCAGTTAAACTATTATTAAAGTGTAGTAAGATAAGAATAATTATATTGTTAGTGTGACTATCTTTTACAATTTTAGCTTTATAGTGTTTTACAATTTTTTTAATACTGTAATATATTTTCCTAGACTTTTATTTAAAAAGTTATATCGTCTAGATAACAAAATTGTCTTTACATGTTTTTTGTTTGACATTACGAAATGATGGTTCATGGTTGAAAGGCTAGCAAAGGCTGACGAACAACACGACACTGTTACGTTAAATATTGTTGATAAACGTTAATCGTTGAGCAAGATAAATATAGTATTGCGTATGTAACATCGTATACATGTGTGTATACACGGTGTCACATATATAAAGTCAAAATACGTTAATTAGGGTTAACAAGTTTTTAATACCTATTCCTTCCCAAAGAACAATATTTTCTTCTAATAGTATTCTCGTCAAAAAATATTGTTATAAATTGTAAATAGTTATGTCTGTAATTGTTGAATAGTTTTATTTCATATTAAGTACATTCATCCCACTTGTATTATTCTTCCTCCAGTGAACGTCGTTTTAAATTTTTTCAATATTATATTTATTTTACATCATGATTAATTTGAAAAAAAATATGTTTTAATTAAAAAGACATGAATGAATATAATTAAAGTAAGGACAAAATGATAATTGATAATTTTACCTCGAATATTGAACACTATAACTACAAATATACCTAACTGTGATACTGTCGTCACCATTCTTATAATAAATGTCACACCACTTCCTCGTAGAATTTTGGTATATTTATGTAATATGACAATGCTTAGACTAATAACGGCACTGGAGTACAAAAGAATAGTTCTTATTAAGTATAGTGATACTGTAATATAATGTATAAAGTGATTATCATCTCATCTGCAAATGATGAAATTAAAAGTATTTTTTGTTACCTACATATCTTTTATTACTATATCCAACATTCCTTATATTATATAACAGCCATAAAGTTAAAAGTTAATGAATTAATTAATAAAGCAATGCATACTTATACTAAAATTAATCACAACAATAACTAATTTGTAACGGACGATGATTGTTATATTTTTTATTTATTTTTTTCTATGTCATTTTTAGGTTTTCTTATATCAGAAACGGAATCCCAAACTCGATTAAATTCTCTCTGCAAGGCTTTTACCACTGTTGACTCTGACGTGAGTACCGTTGCGTCTCTGTTACAATTGACCCTCCAGGTATTGTAGTCAAGTGAGCCGATTACTGCTACAGCATGTTTGAACTTCTCGGAAGCGTCGATCAACAAAAACTCATGTTCCAAGCGCACAAATGGCTTAATAATTTTTACCTCTATACCATTTTGAGAGAAGAAATGCAAATTATGAAAATCATCGCTGTTATGTATGACGATTCTAATTTTCACATTACCGTTCTGATGAACTTTGATGAGACAGTTAGCCAAGGTGTCGCTCTCGAAACTTGGCACACACACATCTACAGTCTTGTTGGCATGAAGTATCATGTAATAAATGCAAAGTAAATTGTTTAGGCCAATTTCTTCCATATGTGCCTTGTTTTCGGATCCATATAACAAAATTTCATTTATTTCTTTGTAACCGCTTTCATAGTTGAATAAAGAAGTTTTTAAAATTGTCTGCGCTAGTCCAGATAAAAACGCTTTTCCTAAACAGAAAGCCAATTCCCAGTTTAGTGTGAACATTTCGAAGCAAAATGTAAGCACAAAGTCTAAACACATTTAAAGAATGTTTAAACACTAACAAAGTCGGTAGTGAATAAAATATTTTTGTGTCGACTGCCGCGTTGCGCCTGTGTCGTACATCTGACATCTCTACACAATATTATTCGAATTACCCTGAATTACCTTCCCTATCTTTTGTTTACAATTATTTCGTAAAAGTTGTAATTTTTAAAGTTAAAAAGTATTCACTCTTCAAAGATAGTTTGTAATACTCGTAAGCGATTAATACAATTTTTTTTTACATATTTTTTAAATTGCGTGTCTAAATCCCTACTTTCAATTTACAGACCTTTTGTATAAATCATAGCTTGGTTCAGCTTGGGTGAGGTTCTTAGTAGTTAGGTGTATGTAAAATCGAGTTATTTTTCTAATAAAATACTTGTTTCTTACTTCCATACTGTAACTAGCCTGCTTAATCACTCCTTTTTTTTTGCCTCTGCCGAACTCCCCTCGAATACCACCCACCAGTGGGTGATTATGTCGGACTCGAACCGACTAAAAACCGCACGCCGTCTCCAGGTACCAGTAGCCGGGGAACCAGGTATACCCTAGAAAGGAAATTCCTGGTACCCCGACGTACCTCGGGCCATCTACGGTTTATAGATGACCCCTCCTGTGTTCTCCCGGATGTTCCCTTTCTGCACCGATGGGCGTGCGCGCTCCGTAGCGCGTCGCGTCATTACCCACTCCGGCCTGCTTCTGCTAGAGTGACAGATGACCTCACCTGTCACACTCAGGTCTTATGGAGGACGGTAACAGGACCGTCTGCGGTACCTGGCCCGTGCTCGGGCACGCAGACCCGAGGTACCGTAGGCCCGAGCCTAGCGAGCCGGAGATTTCTGAACCTCTCCCGGTCCCGCTCCGCCATCTCCTTATAATAAATAACTATGTAGGTACTTTAATTTATTATTGTTTACCATTTCTGACTTTTCTATTGTACTGGCATCAGGATGATGATGACAGACATGATACCAGAGAAGATATTTTTATGGAGGGATATACCGCCACAGTGTATATCATTGCAGTCTCTGTGAAAATGTGGCCATGTAAGTATGAAATTGTAATTACGGTGGTATCAATGTCTTATTACAATAGTGTAATTTTTTTTATTTCACTGAACGTGGAATATATATTTCCAATGAGTTAATAGTACCTAATTATAATCTAATTTATCCTTTACTCAATATAGAAGTAGTTGCAACAAAATAAAAATGTAAGTTCAGTGCTTTCATATTTTTTATTATATAGGTTTTTTTATTAAATAATAAATAAAAGAGAACTGGAGGTAGCATTGTATTTGACAAATCATTTGTTCACAACTGAAAATTATAACGAAAATGGTTATAAGGCTAACGGGCTGAAAGTCTACCATTGATTAATTTAACAATTATTAGAAATGAAGAATTTGAGTTGGAGCTAAATATGATGATTGTCTTGTTTGTTGTTTTGACAATTGTGATTATATTCTATGTAACTAATTAGGTATACTAAACATTCTCAAATAGGATTAAAACATAGTTGTTATTAAACATTATATTTTGTATAATCTTAAGTATGATTTAATTCTATTTATAACAATAATGAATATGGTAAAGTCCAGAAACTAGCAGAGATGACTATGCCTCAGACACAAAGATGGTTTTTCTTTTTATATTTATTCATCATCATCATCATCATCAACAGCCTTTAATAGTCCACTGCTGGACATAGGCCTCTCCTTTGAAAGGAGGCTTTGGCCTACTATACCACGCTGGCCAGACAGGTTGGTTAAGGGTTTGTGTCAAGTTTTTCTTCTCTTTGCAGTGTTGTTGTCCTGCGTAGTTTACTGCCTTAGTCGGCTTTTACGACACCCATGGGATGAATAGGGGTGGTCACACTCCGTATTCTTAATCCGTCACTACACTATATTTATTATATAGTAATTTTTATTGTTTTAAACGTTTTTACTTAAATAATATTACAAATTAATATTTGTTAAGAAAATAACTTTGTAATAAGGGGGATAAAAATAGCAGTATGGACATAACATAACATTGTAAAATTTACAAAAACAATATTGAACAGCCACTCAAAACCAGTCTTCGTCATCATCATAAATAATACTAAAAATATTTCAATAAGTCTTTGTCAACTGCGTGTTGAGCACTCCACAAATACAACCAATTTTTATATCCACTCATATTGACCGAATTAAACTTCCAATCACTTAGGACGGCAAATGTATTCAAAATCTTCTATTGTTGATCAACAATCAATCTCTTATAAATGTCAAACTTTACGTTTATATCATTGGACCTAGTTATGCCAAAATGTACCAACCCACAAATGATCAAAAATGAGTTATTGACACCAAATTGATTACTCAGTGAGAACAGCCCAAGATCTATTCACATTTGACACTAAAAAGGTACTTACGAACCAAGCCACACATATGGAGTATGTAAAAAATAATTCTGCTAAAATGATCCATGAATGTTTGGTATAAACTTGATATTATAAATAAGATTCAAATGATTTTGGTTGTTCGAAAATAATAAAATATTTAAAAAAAACTGTCTCAAAGTAACATGGATCAATTTTAACTTTTAGTATACAATTCAGCAAAAATGAACCAAGTGATTTGGTAGTCTGTGAAAAAACATAAATTTTTCAACTAAAATGATCCAAGTGTCACTTAGTGCAAAACTCATTAAAAATAAGTAAGCAAATACAATTCAAGCTAGTTGGACCACTCATGCAAATTAAAATTATAGAATCTAACAACACTTGCATCATTTTTCGAAGACTATATTGATATTTTGAAAAACTGCAAAAAAGTTAATTCTTTAAAAGTGATCAAAATGAAAACAAGATTTTAAGAGATGCAATATGTTAGAAAAGCAAATAGTTAATAGAAAAACTTTTATTAACAAGAATAATGTTAGTTGGCTAGCTACTAAAGAAATGCTGCTGAAGAAAGACAAGGAGTTTTCAATTTTTATTAAGACTGGGCTAGATGGCGAATTTCAAGAATTAGACATAATGAAAAAAATTGTCGGAAATCAGGTTGGGTTGACTTTTAATGTGAAGAGTTTACTAACACTGTGGCCACAAGGCAAAGAAATTGCCCAGGCTAATTTTGATGACATAAAGTCTATGATACACTATGATGATCAGCTGCCATGATTTTTATAATAAAATTAAGGGTAGTTATAGCATATTAGATGATATTGAAGGTTTTGGTAGGCTTGATTTTGAAATTGAATTGGAGGAGTAAAATAACTAATGTAGCCATAAAATACTGTAACTAGGCTGTATAACCAATAAAGAAAAATATTTTTTTTGCTGTCGTTATTGTTAAGTAATTCATATTTTACAAGTAGTCAGGATTGCTTTTTACTCTCCCTCAAATCAAATATTTTATGTATTTTATAAAAACACAGTCTTTACCTTAACTTAAAATTTAAAAGCTAAAAAATTGTACATTTTGGCATATCTTATTTACATCGAATTTCACAATGAATTCATTTTTGCTAAAACATACCAAGTACATTTATCTTGAATTATAAGAATATTTGAAAACAATACAGAAAAAAATTAAATATGTATCCAAACTTTGAACCAAAAGCTCTAACTGGCATTAATAAAAAAATGTTCAGAGTGTTGCACCATGAGCTCCAGCTTTAACATCATTTTCTCGAAATCAGTCGACGAATTAATTTTACCTTGGGAGAGCCATGCCACTTGTGGCTTTTTGAGTTGCAGGTGTCCATGGGTGGCGGTAGTTGCTTACCATCAGGTGACCAGTCTGCTCGTTTGCCCATTTATACCATAAAAAAAAATCATTTTTTTGCAGTTGGTACATTTTCACAAAACTGGGTCCAATTATCACTAAGAATACGAGAATACCGATTTACACTATTTTCAACTTTCGATGACAACTCGATATCATTACATTACAGTTAACTTTGAATGTCTAAAATTTGACTACGAGAATATGATTTTTGGACATTGATGAAATCGAGAGTAGATTAAAACCGAATTGAGACCGAACTTTTGTTAAGAGAATTGGCCTTCTGTTCTACTTTCAAAGTGAAAAAAAATACCGCGGTTTGGTTTGCATAAGACACTATTAGTCGCATAGACGCTTGAACTTGTCGCCGCAATTATGTGTAGACGAACACCACTTCCAGAAATTCGAATGTGCATTTATATTGTTAAAACGGTGAACTGCAGCATAATTGGTTGTGAAAATGCATCTCCCTGATGCATTTTCACAAAGCGCGTATAATTCAACTAATAAAGGCATAAAATTTCATGGGTAAGTTTATTATTTACTAATAAATCATTGTTTTTACTAATTTACATCTCGATGAATACGTTAATAAGAAATCTGCCTTTGTAATCATTTATTTATTACTTTCCGTTTTGTACAATTACCATTGCTGCAGTATACAATAATTTCTTTGGGAATTTAATTATTTGTTTAAGTTACGTGTTAGTCTATGTTTAGCATGCTGATAAATGTAAATAAAATGTTAGCTTTTTAGGAAGCATAAATAAATATACAGTGGAACCTCGATATAATGAAACTCCTGGGCGGGAATCGACCCAATGACCTCCGATTTAACCTGTCAATAAAAAAAAATTAGTAAATACATTACATTGTTTGACATAAATGATAATTCGTAAATCATGAAAAAAAACAATATTAAAAAAGTTGCATTGACTTTTATATTTTGATAATATGATACCATTCTCATCATCATCAACATCATTCTCATATTTCTCTTTAAACATAAATTTATATGTCAATGTCAATCTAGATTTTTAGCGCTATCATACTAAAAAATATATATTTTATTTTTCATTTGACAGAACAGTTGAAAGTGCCGATTGAGTTAAAATTTTGTTGAGCATTTGACGTTTATTTTTGATATACGTGTATTTTTGGTTACTATTGAATTTATGGAAATTATTGAATTGCCGTAACTCTTGATTCGTTTGTTTAGTGTTGTGAATATCTTGTGTGAGATTTTTTAATGTCGCAATCGCGGAAGTGTAAAATATCATCGTCGGCAGAGCATTTTTTGTCCAACGGCGACAACGGACCGAGACATGATCTTTCCATGGCTAGGACCGCCAAGGACTTACAATCACGATCCACCCACCCTAATGAATGTCGAAGAAAAAAAAGCAACAAAAAGATACCAAAAAGTCTGCGCTACGATCTTGAAGCAGCCTTAGTTGGTGTAAGCGCGTACTTTTATTATACTTTAATCAAGAAGCCTGGTGTTGAATTATTTAATCGCAATTACCTAAAATAATAAATATTTATGTTCATATAGTTATGCGACGTTTGGTTTGAAAATATCAAGCCGCATTTAGTGCGAAACAATATAAAGTTACACGTGCACAATACGGAAGCGGCTGCAGACGCTGCTGCTTCTGCCTGTGGAGACTTGGAGACACCAGCGATGCCTCCTTGCGCACATCTCGACCCAGGTGCTGCTACCGATGTACGAGCCTCGATCCGGTCACGTCATCCATTCTCACTTATCTACTTAGTTTATAATATAATGTTCCAATGTAACTTATGCCAATCGACAACAGCTTGTTTAGGTACCACAAAAACTCCAACATAATCAACAACTCTTGATGTGTGGTATATCTTTATAACGATATTTTTTTGTTGTAAAACGTGCTGATCTCGAAGTGTTGTTTTAAACCAATTTACATTTTTTAAAATATGTTGGCCAGCTTCTTCGGCAGGAGGATGCATGTTATGTCGGCTTCTGTGCAACGCAGCCAATAGCATCGGAAGCGCAATGTTTCAGGCCACAAGTGTCGATCTGCCAGAACCAATCATCGCACGGACGCCCTCTGGTACGTACCTACTGCAAACAATAATTAAGTTTTGTGATAGGTAACTTCATTAAGAAAAGTTTACTTATGCACAAATCTATGAGCCAAAGTATCTGGTGTATAATTGTCGTGCCCTTCTATTAGATAATATTAAATCTAACGCAATTTTGCAGAAGACCCATCAAAACAATGAAATTTTGTTGAAAAATAAATGTAAACACCAACCACGGCGTGTATCGCGCACATGTCAGACCAATGCCATCCTACGTGCGCCGATGACAGAGCCAACTTTCTCATTCAAAGATCGTCATATACGAAACTTATTTAAATCCGTTTTTAAAAAGGGTATGTATTTAACTCCTAAATACATCTTATTATACAAAAATGAATGGATTAATTTGACTCACCCCCAATACAACTTAAATCAGATTATAAACAATTTATGTATATTCTTATTATATCACAGTCAAACATAAAAAAGCTGTCAAATGTGCAGCTTCGATGAATACAAGAACAGTAGATAAATACCTACAACTCTCTTTATAGCGCGATAACTTAAGTCAAAAATAATATTTTCTATAAATATTATGAAGGTCAAAAATAATTTACAATACAATACGGAAATTTAGTATTCCATTTCGTATTATGTGCGATTTAAATTATTGGTATTGTCCCGATCGAATAAGAGTATCGCGCCTGAAAAAATAATGGAAGCAATTTTTTCCGATGTCGCACTGCGTTTATTTTTTACTTAATTTGCACATTTTTCTGCAGGTCAAAAGTAGGCTCAAATGTCAAGTAATAACCATTTTTTTTCGTACACTAATTTAATACGTACCTGAGTTTGTCTCTGCTAGCTTGTTGCTAGCTTGTATAGTCTAGAAACTGAAACTGTCGATGTTTTTATTCCTGTTTCTGTTTCTCTTTTCGTCAACGAAAACGATTTTTTTCCATTCGAAGACCATTTTTTAAGAGTCCTTAGTAAGTGCCTTTGAATTTTAAATAAACATCAAAAGTTTCACCAATTTTGTAATCACTGCTTACTCCAGAGTATCCTATTATTCATACCATGTAATTTCAGGTCCTCCCGACACGCCTAATGAACCCCTATCTCAGGGGAAATGACTTCAATCACCTTTCAATTGTGGCTTGGCGGCCCGAAATAGGCTTGTAATAACAAATTGCTTGGTTTATAGTTTCAAATTATAAATCATTCGGGCACGCCGTCATCGCGGCGGTAAGACCCGTTATGGAGGATTGGCTCGAGAGGCGTCACGGGACCCTCTCATACCGACTGACGCAGGTGATCACTGGGAAAGGATGTTTCGGGGATCACCTGTGTCTGATCCGCAAGGAGCCAACGCCACCACTGCGATGGCCAGACCGTGCACATGGCTCTCCACACGCTGGCAGAGTGCCCGGCGTGGGTTGAGCAGAGGCGAGACCTCGTGGCGGCCATCGGAGTGGGAGTTCTCTCGCTCGATTGCCTGATTGCGGCTATCGTGCGGAGCGAGAGTGCGTGGAACTCTGACGTCTCCTTTTGCGAGCAAGTTATGCTCGCGAAGGAGACGGCGGAGCGGGACCGGGAGAGGTTTAGAACTCTCCCGGCCCACCAGGCCCGGGAACGGGCCAGGTACCGCAGGCGACTCAGGCGCCGGAGGTCGCAGAACGACCTCCGTCCTCCATAAGCGCAGGCCTGGGGGTGACAGGTGAGGCCATCTGTCACCCTAGCAGAAGCGTAGCGAAGCGCGCTCGCTTCCAGGGAGCAGAGGGAACATGGGGTTCCCACACGGGGGGGGTCGTCTACTCGTTTCTAGATGGCCCGAGGTATGTCGGGGCACCAGGGATTCCTTTCTAGGGTATACCTGGTTCCCCGGCTATTAGTACCCGAGATGGCTTGCGGTTTTAGTCGGTTCAAGTCCGACATGCCACCGATAGGTGGTATCCGAGGGGATTTCCGCACTGAAAAAAAAAGAAAAAAGTCTATTTCTCTTTAAAGTTAAAGATTATTAATATTTATTTATTTAAAAAAAAAAAAGAAATGAATATAGCACTTAAAGATTCTAAATCATGAACCTAAAACGAAATACCTAACCTCAAATTAGTAGATAGGTATGTCAACAGTCTTGAATATAATACATTAGTTTTATTTGACATTTACATTACCTAGGTAGATTATATTGTGTGTAGTACTTACATCGAAATGATCTTCACAAAAATACATTCTTGTATTTGTTGATGTTGATAAACAATGAGCATCACTCTTGCTAGCAAGTTTTAACCACTTTTCCCGTGTGGGTTGATTGTTTGGACCATATATAAATAATTTGTCTGGCGTTTTATGGTTGTCCTTTTACACTCGGGCACTATACAGTACTTGTAATACGAAGAATTCATTTTTAGATAACAGTTGACACTGGACACAGGTGTAAACACTTGTTTCGCAGACTGTGACGTATACGTAATGTAAATATTGCTTTTTGTTTAAAATTTGGGATAAAATAGATATTAAAGTATATAATTAACCAAGTTTTCAAATTGAGTCAACTAGCCTATTGAGTCTTAATCAGGCCGCCATTCTATCCCCTACCGCAGCAATTAATCTGCCACCAAAAGTCATTCTCTGGCGGCCCGCGGCCCTCTCGATCCCGTTAAGCGGTTTTTCTTTCTTGAGCATTACAGCTTCACACTCACACAACTGCGCCCCCTCCTCACCCGCCAGCATGGCAGAAATGATTGCTGGCGGAGACAGGTCTCGTCCAATTTGGTCGACCAGGACAACCAGGAGCAATCTTCCAGCATGTGCTCGTCGGACACCCAGTCGGCTGCTTAGTACTTTCATTGAGCCCGTCTCCTCGTGTGCGATCCGATTCAGTACTCGGTGCTCACTCACCGAAGCAACCGTGCACAGTGAGAATTTGCGTCAGTCGGTAGGTGACGCGACCTCCCTCCCTATCTATCTAAGCTTCGGCAGAATGGCACCGATAGCTCGTTGGCGTGCATTCCGCGGCTGTCGGTGAGCGTTCCGCCGCATTTCGAGCTCGTCCTGGTCTTCCCCGCTCTCACCCCGCCGGTCCATATCTGCCAGGATATCATAAAGCGGGAAACGTGCCAGAACTGTCGCGAACTTCCTCCCGCGGACCCCTTAGATTAGGCAACAGCCGCTGTAGGAAGCTCGCCACCCCGCGAACTCGGGGGATCATCGGCTCGAAATGCTCCTTGAAGCTCTAGCGGCTGTTCAGGGTGAGGCCGAGGTATTTGATGTACCGGCCGACCTCGACCTCTGTTACCTCCACTTTAATAAACCAGCGGGTGGGAACTGCACCTCTGCGTTTCCTGGGGAACCAGAGGGCTTCCGTCTTATGAAACATTATAAACACCTAGTGATATGTTCTAAATTTCGACTGGCGTACGATAAATATACTTGTAGTTCGAATATATTTGCGTATAACAGGAACCATGCCCGTGTGGTGACGGATTAAGAATACGGAATGTCACCACCCCTATTCATCCCGTGGGTGTCATAAGAGCCGACTAAGGGAGCAAACTACGCAGGACAACAGCACTGCGAAGAGAAGGAAAACTTGACACAAACCCTATACCAACCCGTCTGGCCAGCGTGATATAGTAGGCCAAAACTTCCTCTCTGAGGAGGGGCCTATGTCCAGCAGTGGATTATTATAGGCTGTTGATGATGATAACGGGAATTTTATTCCGAATCTTGAATTCCGATTTTTAAAAGTCCGAATTTCATAATACCTAAGAATTTTAATGTCTATTAGTAAGATGCGATTTGTTTGTTTTCCGATTTTTATAGAAAGAATCAAATGCTCGATGGGTTCTCGGTCCGAACAACGATGTTCCGATTTTCAATACTTCGAATAAACTAGTATAATTTTCGGTTGCACATATATTCTGAATCTATAAGTAACGTTGAATGTAATTTGAAAATGTCCACTTTTTAATAATTTGTGTATTATTATTTTTTTTTTTTTTCTTCTCCTTATACCTGCATCGCGTACTATCTACTGTTAGGAATTCTTTGGCTTAGGTTAGGTTAGAATAATTAGTTTAGGCGAATAACACCAGATACTCTCTTTTATTGGTGAATCATTTGGGTTAAGTTAGGTTAGGAACTGTGAAGATCCGTCTCTATTGATGGTTACTGGTGAATTTTAGATGTTTCGAATTATCATTAAGTCGAACTTTTTGTAATTCGATCAATTGATAACCTTTTCACTTTCTGGTGATTCTATTTTGCAGTTCCAGTATGTCCTCCTACTACGCCGCTAAGTGCATTGCCAAAGTCTAAACAAATAACGAACATGGCTTCACAGACGGTGCCTCAAATGTATTGTACATTTTTAGACAACTTATGTTCACTCAATCGACTCCGGGCCACCACCCCACTCTCACACAATAAGACGCAGCAGCGCGTGCGGAATCAGCCAAATTTGTTTCAAAATGTAAGTAGGTAATTAGGTATACCTTATAACTAAAACTACCATCCACCAATAAAACCGACAAAATCCTAGGCATCGAGATATCGAGCGAAGTCCATTTTCGCGGTCATTTAGAGGGTAAGGTCAAATTAGCTTCGAAGAAGGTCGGTGTGCTGAACAGATTGACGCAGTATTTCACTCCAGCCCATCGCTTCAAACTCTATAAGGCACAAGTCCGACGCATATGGAATACTGTTCTCATCTCTATGCAGGGGCACCATAGTACCAGCTTCTGCCTCTGGACCGTATCCAAAGAAGAGCGACCCGAATCGTCGATAGCCAAAAGATTTGCCACCGGCTCGATCCCTTAGCGTTACGTAAAGATATATTCGGACAATACAGCGCCTCCCGCCGTCCCGTCGAAATCCCTGCTCGAAAACCGAATGGGACGTCTGACGGATAGGGCCCACTTCGAAGAGGCGCCGGACGATGCAGGCAGAGATAACCCCCTAAAATATTTGACTGCCTCATCCAGCAACAATGGGCTTCGTTAACAAGACCAGCTGCTCGCTCTTCCAGCACTCAGGGAAACATCCGGCGACGCCAAGCTAGCGTCGAACACCGCCCTAAGGGGTTGACGTGGGTTTGAAGGCTATAACTCGGGCAGGTGTCGCGTCTGGTCCGAGTGGAATATCTTCCATATTATTTCCCGTCGTTTCTACCCAAGGAGGCCATACACGGGTTTATGTATTCCACTCGTTGTGGGAAAGACTAGAAATGTCACGGATTGGCCGAATAATGAATATTCGGCGAGTGTTTTGGCCAAATATTATTACCGCTTAGTGCCTTTCGCGGGCTTGCAAATATGTAAATCCGCCACTGATCACGGAGGCGTTCGTATATCACGAATCGGGTTTTTGCGAGGGCCACTCCTGTGGAACATCGGCTATGACTGGGTGCTTCTTGGATGCTGTCACCATCACGTGCTACGATCATGACAGCATGCGGCAAGACACGCCTGAGGCCCACGGCCGGTATACCTGCCGTTATAGCCGGGTATGCCTGCCGTTATAGGGTATCCCTGACTACTGGTCCCCGAGACAGCGTGCGGTTTTTACTCGGTTCGAGTAGGACTTAAGCGGGGTGCTGGTTAAGTAGGACTTAAGTCCTACTCGAACCGGCGGGTGGGTAAAAAAGGTACAATACAACCAACAACCGCAACAAATACAACCGCTAATGATTGAATTTTCTATTCCTGCAAATCATTAGTAGAACCCATAATATTACGCTCCGAAACGACATCAGAAGGCCTAATATTATTCTCGTACTAAAAGTTCGCTCAAAATTCAGTTCCGATCTACTCTTTACTCTTTCGTAGTAAAATAGTAAAGTATTACTAAGACTCCCAGATTACCGGATTCAACTTTCGGTCATAATGCACATACACATTGGTAATGTGCGAGTAGAACTAAATAAAGAGTAGAACTGAATTTTGACCGCACTTTTATTACGAGAATTGGTCTCGTACTAAAATTGCGGTCAAAATTCAGTTGTTGAGTTATCACTAGGAAATTTTAGTAAAAATACTTTACTTAATCAATATTTTCCTGCTGCTTTCACGATATTCATAATTACTATTTTTTTTCCAGGACCTAATAGATATTATAGGTAAACGAAACGATGAGATATTAAGAGATATTTCTAAAAGTCAACAGAAAGTAGGATACCCCTCCCTGGTCAACTTAGTTTCACCTAGGGATAGACAGAAAACCGGTGCTCCGAAGAAGAATCCCCCTTGGAGATGATGCTTAAGGAAGATGTGAAGTAACAGTGGCCTGACTATGTGTGTAACTGTGTATCTTACTTTGCATACGTATTGTACCTAGTCACTTCGTAGGTTTTGTTATTTTTATTATTTGTCAGTTAGCTGTATAGATAAATAAACAAAACTGTACGCTTAATTTTTATTATTACTTCTAAAACCTAATTTACTCAATTTTGTTAATACCTACAACAAGTAACATGTGGCCAGTAACAATATACTTGTATATTGACCCCACATAAGTTTCACGTAGAATGAAATATTTTCAGTGAGAATTATTATCTAATGCAGGGTTTAGGCTCTTTCAATTTTGTAGGAAAAGGTTTCGAAAGGTTTTAATAGATTTTGGTATTTTTTATTTGAATCTTCTTTCATTTAGATCAGTCATTGACTGATTTTCGCCTCCCATTAGTACTATAATAAAAAGTTGGTAGGTTCTTATTATACACCAACTTATTAAGTACTACTACAATTATTTGTTAGGAATTAAATCAATAATACATCTTACACGACACTTGGATTGGTACTTTTAATTATAATTTAACTTACAATAAATCTTACTTACGACTCTTTACAAAATTACAACAGATGTATCGACTAAAAGGCAGATACAGGGTGCTTTTCACACGAATAAAATAATTTACAAAAACAGTCGTACATATACATCACGCTCGTTAAAAGACTAAATAAATATTTCACACAGTCACCGAACTTCGATCGCGATCGCGACAGCGACGCAGAGTGCCGCCGTCCAACCGGGATCGAAGCGCGCACGCTCTTTGGATCCGAGTAAAGTTTGTGAAACGTCCTCGCGTCACATTCGCACCTCTCGTATTTACTAGTTTGTGTGCTTCACATAATCCGTTTCAAAGTACGCTGCAGTACCATGGGCGCCTTTCCTGTCTAACGCGCGCACACGCACGAACAGGAACGCAGCCACCAGGGAAGCGACTACCAAAACTAGTAATAACATAACTAGACCCGCCACAAATGAGGGTACTGACATACATATCGTCTCCGGATCGTTTGCCGGGGACTGTATTACTACAGTTTCGTTGGCGTTAGCGTTGTTCAGTGCGAAGTTTACGTCGCCGGGCGCCACTACTTGGATTATTCTACTAGTATTGACGTCAGTCATTTCTTGAGCGTCACGCTTGTAAATTCGTGTTTGGCTGGAAGTGTGTCGTCGCCTTCTCAATCCAACTAACCTTTCTGGTAAGTCTTCGACGGACCGCGGTCGTCCGCCAAGTATGGCTAGATTTCCATGACCTTCATCTTTCCTCTTAACAGTATTATAAACACCCCTACGGCCTGGTGGCGGTGGGGGAGGTAAATTTACTTCATCTTCATCTCTCACAGGGGCAGGAGAGGATGGGTTTGGTGCGTTTGGTGTAGAGGAAACTTGTGCTTGAGGTGGTGGTACAGTATTGTCACGTTTTTCTGAGTAAGATCCTACTGTATCCGCGGGGTGTCGTGGATCTGGGAACGCTGGTGGCACACCGTACTCGGAATGAGGTGCCGGTGGAGGAGGGCCATATTCACCATGGGGAGGGCCACCATTCCCTACACCATATTCTTCAACGCCAAGCGTATTTCCACCCAATAATGGCACTCCATAATCAGCGCCAAGTCCGCACTTTGGTTCTGGGCAGTTGTATCTGCATACTTGTATTACACATTGGAAATGTACGTTCATAGAATCTGGGAATTTGAACGCTTGGAAATAAGCAAACGACACCACTGACGCAGATGGACCAAAATTCTTTATCTTTTGGAATTTGCTCATAATTTTTGGTCTCACCACACAACCGTATTGGTCCACTAGCTGTATAGGAGCTCGTTTTCCATCATGCGCTACACAATTTCGGACTAACATATCGAACTTATTTTCGTCATCTTTGATCGCCAGTACCATTGTCATTGTCTGTCCAATTTTTACAATACCTGAAACTTCTGAAGCCCAAGGTCCCTTTCCGACCTGTATTTGCATCCAACATTGCAGGTTATCCCCGAGAAAGTTCGCAGTGACAGCGTGTAACATGTCTACTTGGAATGGTCTGAATGTGACTGCTTTTTCATAAAAATCATACCACGTGCATCTCAATTTTCTAGCCTGATCCCATACTTCTTGAACGTAAGGATCGTACTGAACAATGATCGTGTTTTCTACATACGAGCCGCTAGGTGTGGGACTTCCATAAGCTGCAACATTGTGATTCGCGGAACTGCTCATACCACAGCTATTCAAGAAAATTTCGAAAGTAGCGCTTAGATGGCCAGTGCCCGGTTTTAAGTGCATACAGTGAGAGTCGCTGTAGAATCCTTTAGAAAATATCATACCATAGAATGGACGATCAAACTCTATATTTACACGCATACGCGTCTTCTCACACTGAACTTGTAAGTGTTTTATTTTAGGACTGTCAGGTGTTGCTAATGGCCAAGGGTCGTCCGTATGCGAAGGTGGAAGAGGTGGACCATAACCTGCTCCTGTTCGATGTTCTAGTGGTAACGAAGATGAGTCCACCGGCGGTTCACATGTTGCTTCCTGAAAAAAGAAAATCAAAAATTACTTCATTTATTTAGTTTCTGACTTGTGCTTGATTTGAATGCTCCATCTAAATCACACATGTTCCGACAAACATATTGTTAACATTAAACACCAGTTAATGAACAATTATTAGTTAATGGAATAGTACATTGCAAACAAGCGTCTCACTCTAGATATTTCATGCTACGCGAGCGCGTGCGTGGAGCGCTCTCGCCTCGCGTCTTCTTCACGCGAGTGGCGCTCGGGCATCGTGCTTGCCGACTTTCTATAGTGATGAGTAGCTCATTAAGGCAATTACCATATAAATTAATCATATCAACTAAATGAGTTACATTAACGATACTTAAATTCTTACTTAAAATGTAAAAATCAAAATGAAAGATGTACGTATACGTTTTACGACTAGCTCAAAAGGCGATATCATAGTCCGTGCATTTTGCATTCCACAATTTGGTTGTTTATTTTAATGACTAGTCATAAGAAATACGGACATCACCGATTACGAGTAGTAATTATCTATCAAAAATAATACAAGATGTAAATAAAGAGTCAGTCGTGTAAAGACTGTGTAATGAGTGAATAATTTAATCATTGGTTTAAGTGCCCGAGGCTGTATAACTGGATCGTGCCCCATTTGGCAGTTAGTTTAAAAATATGGCGTGAGAGCTGGTGGGTTAGGTATTTATTAGATGATGTAGTCTATCTAGTATGTAAGAATAGTTGCTAAAGTGGCAGGTTATCGCCGACAGTGCGGCGAGCAGCGACGGCTGTTTGGTGCGTACCGACGCTCGCATTTTCTAAACCGGTTAGAAATTACCCAGTGATCGAGATTGTGAGTTGCGGAAGAAAACACCGGACCTATAAACAAGCGCAACTTTGACAAGTAGAGCTTTCATTGGCAGTTTTCACGTAGGATAAGTACCTACTTGCTCATAATAGATAAACCAGGCGAGAGTTGGTATTATCATATACTTGCTCCTAAATTTCATTCAATTTAGTCTCGGTTGAGATCGACATAGGATAATAGGAGGTCCGCCAATGCTTTTAAATGACAAGCAACAGGTTTTTAATTAATAAAATCTTGCTTTTAAGTGTTAGAATCTCCTATGATAGATAGTTTTAAAACGGCACTAAATATTGCTGATGACACATTCAAATTGAAACTAATTTAGTAAGCCAAACTTAATTGGCTAACTGTTACAAAATGACATATTTTTATTGATGTTAGATTTAGGGCATTGATTAAATAGGATGAGCCAAGCATAATAAAAAATAAAAGTTCGTGCTAGTCCCAAGAAACGATGCTTTCTTGTAGACTGGTAATGATGTAGTTAACGTTTGTGTCGTATATAATATATATCATTTGAGGAAAGTACGTGACTTTTATTTCATGTTACTCGTTAGCGTGGATAATAATTGTGAGAAATTGATAAAAGCGATTACTAGCATAAAAGCAAGCACCGTACAACTGCACGAGGGGACAGGTGCTGCTCGTCGCCACAGGTGAAAGTAAGTACGCGGCTACATCCGCTTCCACCCGAAATATGTACGACGCTGTTGCCCTTTGTTTATCGGGGATTTGAATTGTTTCATTTTTATCAGTCTTTATCAGCTAAATTATCTTCTCTATACCATCTCTTGGCAATTTTCGACAATGTCACGTGCTGTAGGTTCGATTTCCACATTAGAAAATGATATACTATAGTTGTTAAGTGTTCATAGTTGTTGTAAGTTTAGGTGTATTAATTGTATGTTAGGTTATTGTTAAGGATTTCGCGACCTATAATTTTCTTGAACGGTAGTTTTTAGTAGGAATGGAATAGTATTATTGATATCGTTATTGATTATTATTGATCGTTATTCAACTATAGGTAATTCGATAGTTATAGTGGAGTTTTAAATATTTATCGTCTTTCTATAATAGGCCCTTACCTACAATAGGCCCTCTAAAAAAGGTCAAAATGTAACTTTTTAATTTTATATTTGACGAACAGCAATTGTTCTGATATAAAAACTACATTAAAAGTAGCTCAAGGGCATATTAGTATAAGCCGTTAGTATACATATAAATACAATTATTTTGGGACCCCTTTATTTAGGTGGTCATACGCGAATACCGTTTGATGTTATTCATAATCATTACACACGTTATTATGTTCTCCTGTTAGGGTAACACAACAAAAGCATAAAACTTAAATTAAAAAAAAACATAAATTAAGCATAAAATATACAACTACAACATACTATTGACTGGCAAGTATAACTAATATTGAGATTTTACTTGACAGACACCATCTGTGCATAGGTAGTATAAAACAAAGTCGCTTTTTTTCTTGTACGCCTAGATCGTTTAAACTAAAATATGGATTTTAATACCATTAGAGAGAGAGAGTGATTTAAGAGGACGGTTTATGTGTATTAGACATGCATATTATAGAAGAGGAAATACGAGAATTTCAAAGATTTGTCGTAAAAAACATGGTTTTGCGCGCTTACATTGCAAACGTTGGCTAATCCTTACAAGAATCTACAACAAAGTTTTAAATAGTATATGTTTATCTTTTAAGGATAACCATTTTTATTTTTTAAATATTACAAAACAAATGGGTTTTTACGAAGCTTTTTAAGAAATACATAATTATTCCTTATCCAATTTAAAACCTTAGATACGTTATGCTTTTTGCAGCATATAATTAAAATGATTTTTAGAAGATATAAGAGGTTTAAAATAAGGGTGCAAAGCCGCTATACGTCCGTCGCGGGTGGCAGCGACCGGCAGGATGGGAGCGGGCCTATAAATATTGCATACAAAGATGTCCTTTAGTATAGTCCTATCATAATAATAGTATAATTAATTACTCCACACAGACACATTAGTAGTATTAGTAGTATCTACATTGCACCCATCCGAAGCTGGGGCGGATCGCTAGTAATATATGTACGAGTATATAATGAATTTAAAAATGCAGGTTGAATGAATCTTACATAAGTCATAAATAAATAAATTATTTTGAAAAGAATTTTGCCTACATACCTCTGTATAAAATTAGTACATCACTAAAGAAAGTTGTTTAAATGAACTAGAATGAGAGGAACCGGATTTTTGTTTGTGTTCGTGAATCCTAATAAGGTCGAGGTTATTTATGATATTCTTGTTATTTGCATAACACACTTACCACAAGAGTTGCATCCTTAGACTAGTTATGGGCCGGATTATATTAATAGAAAGATGTAAACAACTGTACTGTTACTGTTCTCCAAATGTTTAATAAAGTTAAAATTCTGATTAAATTTAAAAAATTAAAAATATAATAAAAGGATTCTCAAACAGATGTACTGTACATAAAAGAGAATTGAGTCCTTATAGGACTTTGCATTGATTTGCATACTTTGAAGGGACAACATGTATTGACATAAACAGTGGAATACAGAATGTGACTGTTTCACTTTTTATCAAAATAGATACATTCGATTTTTTACAAGATATTTATTTACTCTTGAAATCGTTATTGAAAGGTTTAGGATCCTAAGGTCCTTTCTAAGGGGCGGCCTATGTCTAGCAGTGAACGATTAAAGGCTGTTGATGATGATGATGGGAAGCAAAATAACAAAAGCGCAAAAGTGACAAACTATCTCAAATTGTCCAAAGAGGAGCAGAGCAAAATTTCAAACGCACACTGTCTAAAGCGCTCAAGAATGTCCCGTTCGCAGAATGTTCAATATTCATCCCTCAACTGTCAGAGCCGAACTGCTTGGGCTGTAGTAGTTACATCAAAACTTGCTTATAGAAAATGAAAACCTCCAAACACCAGAACCGACATTATGCGAAAAAAAAGTAAAAATCAATATCTGAGCAGTGAACCCGTTTAAGTATTTTTTTTTACATTCTTTTGATATTGTGCGCTTATGGCATTTTTCTTTTTTGACAATTTGAGATCGTTTGTCTATTTGACGAATTCCAGAATAAGGTTACAAAAATGAAGTAGATGCTACAGTGGGCTAAATTCCTCTCAGTAATCCCTACATATGGCAACTCTTATTGTCATCACTGCAACATAAATAGCGTGTCAGTGCGTGAGAAGTGTGTTCGGTGCTTGTGCCATAAGATAGAACAAATGCAAGAACAAATCACATCATTAGTAGAAAGTACTCACATTTGTTGTAAAAAAGGTGAGTTCAGTGAATACATAGCGAGATCTAGTAGATAAAACTAAACGTAAAATATGTAATTATGTGAATAAAGAATAACAACACCACACAACATTAATTTTTAACTGTATCTACATTATTTTCTACAATAAAATCAAAGTTACAGCTTTGTTTTCAATCTAAAACTACATTTCTTTTTTTTACTTAAATGTGTACCTAATAGAATGTACAGTAGATGTAATATTTATAAGTTAGATTGGATTTCTCATTGTATTTTAAAATTGAAGAAAAAACCTTAATCCTTGAGCAATTATATTATCGACTCTTCAATTTATAGCAATGAAATGGCCCTTTCTTAACTAAAAACCGTAGGCCTAAAATGGGTACCTGCCCACACGGGGCAAACATGGAATATGACAATAAAATAGAATAGAATATTCAAGGACTATTTTTTTCTTGCGATGTGTCGGATCAACGCATGCTCTGTCCTACTTGTAATATTTTATCAGTTTATTTTGTTTAACATTTTCCAACAAGTATTAAGGTACTTTACATAAAATTTCCCAAGTGCAAATTTTATGTAAAGAACCTTAGTACATTGAAATAAAATACGAGCTCTTTCTAGGTAACAAAGGCATATTGTCTACATATTATAAGTCATGGCCAATCCAATCCGCTTGAACTTTGAAACTTGTGACACTGATCCTGTAAACACTTTCCTTTTATGAAGCGTGAAAGTGTGTACTGGATCAATATGCATTTAAAAGCACTAACATTTATTTACAATACTCGTAAACTTTTACAAACTTTTACAATACGTCCCATTCCTAAACTCGGAGCTTTGTAATACACGACACAAACTGTATCTATTCTTTATTTGATCATTTTATTTATGGGTGTTATTTTGTGTGTGGATGGTTAGATAGAGAGGGATATTTAGTACATACCCAACAGCTTGTTTGTTATTTGTATTATCGATTAAATGAAGACTAATAATAAATAAAGAATAATAATTGCAATCGTTGGTCTTTGATAAGTTCACGGACAATAATTTTCATTGTATTCTTTTATGAATATTAACAACTTGCAAAATAGTATTATAAAACTATATCAGTATTGACGGGTCTGTTGGTCTAGTGGTTAGTGACCCTCACTGCTAAGCCGGAGGTCGTGGGTTCGATTCCCACCAAGGTCAAATATAGTGTGAAGAGCATGGTCATTTGTCCTGTGTCTGGGTAATATTTATCTATAATATGTATGTATTTAGAAATATTTCAATATGTTTATCAGCAGTCTGGTTACTATAGTAAAGGCTCTGCTTAGTTTGGGTTCTAACGGCTGTGTGTGAGATGTGTGAGATTATTAAGTAGTATTTGGGATATGGTTACTATGTTAACCGTACCTCAATAAATTACTACCTATGCATATATTTTTCTGAGAAAGCTAATATACATAAATGCAACTTAATAAGTAAATTTATATTAACGTATCACATTTTAATTCAAACACAAAAATTCTGTTATTAAAAATATTGTAGGCAATGCTTATACCGGTTCTAAATAAATGGTTCTATTATTGTCTAGTTCTAACTAAAACAATATAGTAGACGTTAATTTCTGATTGGATAAGCTTAACTAATCGAGTTGTATAAACAATGGCAATACTGAGAGGCACGTGAAAAGCAAGCGATGGAAAGCGATCGCAAATTTACACTTTCTATAACAATTGCTTTCTAACATGAGTTTGCGAGATTCATTAGTAAATATCATACTGCAAGTGAAGTATGGATTACATCGTACTACGAAACAGTTCTGTGGATATTTCGGATAAATAATTAACAGTAGTTTTTGGACCGTAGTGAAAATATAATAATTACACACACCAAACGAAGTACCTGTGGTTTTAATGAACTATTATTAGAGAATTTGAAACTAGTAACGCAGATAATTTTGAAACAATATTAATTTAGAAATGTATGAGTGAAGAAAAGTATTTACAGTTTACACACACGTAAACTTCGTTTGCCATGTATACATAAAGGATAACCCTACAAGGAATTACATAATTACACAGAATAACATAATTGATGGCTTATAGTTAACGCGAATATTGATTATTTCTCGCTAGATTGGTCTTCTAAAATGTGATTTATTGAAATACTTTTACAGTAAATTGCCATGGAATAAACTTTCATTTCAGTTTTCTTTTGAAGTTGACGTTACAAATGTCTTATGAAAGTATTACTACAATGGAATAATTACGACATCTCTTACATCGGTACATAATAGTGCTATAGAATTTGTAGTGACAAAAGAAATGTGCTACACGAACCAATTACGTAATACATTTTCAGAGGCGTACAATTGGTGAATTGGTGAAAGTGTTTTTACCTGGAACATACATCTACAAATTGCATTTTTGTAGTGCTTTTACTGTTTTGATATACAAGTAACAATAATGTTTAGAGAACACTGTTTTACAAAAAATATTTGTGAGACAGTTTACGGTTTAATATTTTGTATCTGGCCAAAAAAAGGTTGTTGGGCATTAGAAAGAAAACAAGTGATTAACAATTAACATAATCAAACATGTCTCTCGTATGCATTTAATGCATCTGCGGCTTTCCAATACCCTGTTGTTTTGTGTATGTGCTAACGGAATCATTAGCCCAGTTGTGGGGAATGCGAGCGGAAAAAGCTAAATAATGTAAGAGTACAGACCATGGCATACAGCACCGCACAGAAATTATTATATTAATTTAAGTTGTAAATGGTATTTATTAAAGTTATTTATTAATAGAGAACCAATCTGCAAAGGTCCCAACAACATTCTTAACTGTAATACATCAGTGCAATTCCGGTTATTTATGTTCAACTACATGTTAGAATTTTCGTTATTTATGTTATATTTCTTTTCAAAGAAACAATCTTGTTTTAGATAACAATCTCGATTGATCTAGAAAACTCAATTTATCGACGAACAGAATATTCTAGTCAAGTCGTCACGACATAGATGCCTTTAATTTTCATAAAGTATTCTTCTGCGTTCGAAACAACTAGTCAGGTTTCCCTAATTACACTGGTTTGTGTATGGGTGTTTACAACTAGATATATATATTCAATAATTGTGTACGTGATTATCTATAATCAATTATTTTTTTAATTAATTTTAATATAACTAAGCTGGTAAGCATGCATTCCATCACCATTTGCTCTTCAGCCGTAGAGCAAAAATAAGCGATGCACCATTATTTTACAAGTACCCTTTTGACGAACCAAATGTTGCAATAAGTCAATACAATTTTCTTGTTAATTTTTAGTCTGCAGTGTTCATAACTTTAAGTGCACCTACGTATGAGTACCTACGTCTAAAATGTGTAGAATATACCTACTTAATAAGAAAAGAAATGTTTTTTTATTATATATTGTTAAAAAGTTAAGAACAAAGTAAAGAGAGGCATCAACTTTTTGTTACCTGCTGCTTTATAAGAAAAACTAATAGGTACTACTACTAGGTACTACTACATGAGATGTGAGGCGATGATTTTATTTTTACCTTCACCCATCATCAAATATACAATGGATTAGTTGCTCACCGCTATTAAACACGTTCATTATTGGAAAACTAGTGTGTGAAGGTATAAACACACTATTGTCTTGTATTGAGTCGTGGCGCGTCAGAAGCATAACCGTCTCATACATTTTAATAGTATGAATATGAAACTTCTTCTGACGCGTCATGACACATCAATGTGTTCCTACCTTAAAGAGAGATAGAACAAGTGATGTGTGTTATAGTAGTTCATAATACGAGTATGTTAGTGCAAGATTGTTCGACAACGGTATCGGAGTTGCGCACGCGCCTTGTGATTGAGAACGGCGCTACTGATTGCACACAGTTATTATTTAAATTAGGTTTTGTGAAGTTTTATGTGTGTCTGTGTCGAAGCTATAAAATAGGCAATTAACGTAGATGTAGACGTTATTTTATATATTCAAAGTGTGTCACGAATTTTTCACTCACTTGAAAGAGAGTACTCTACAGACGGTACAATATGCATTGGTCACTTTATAACACTACTAAACCTTGAAGGTGCAACGGGTGTACCAATTGAGTGTAATTTTACAACATAGATAGATTGCATCCCTTATTAATATACTATAGACGCGGGTGGAGATATGTGCTATATATAATATTCATTGATATAATAAGATGCCAAAAAGGGGTTGTTGCATGAATTTTTAAAGGCAAAGGCACAGTAAGCTCACCTGTATGAGGAGCGCAGCGGCTACCAGCAGCAACCTGATCCTCTTCATGGTCACAGTGCAGTTAGTCAGCGTCCTGCAACCAAACACGTTCGAATGAACACTAGCCAAGGGCCGTAGGGTCACCTGTAATACAGGGCATGGGTGTTAATGGCGCGGCGGCGCGGCCACACCAGACGTAACGGCGACGACTGTGTCCGACGCACTGGTGGTGCCGCAACAGCTACACCTTCTATTCCCCCCTCCGTGCATATGCCACCCCACCGCTCGCGCCAAGTGGGACTGACCCACTGACCGAGTGCAACCAGCGCCACCGGAACTGCACCGGCTACTTCTTTCACTGAGAGGCGTTGCGCGCACGTCGCTCCTGTTGCGTCGAGAGGAAGCCAAGCGCGGCCTTCACCTTATTACCGCACAAGGTCGCGTGTCTACGTACTTCGAATGTATCAATATATACTAATTTATTACTATCAAAACCAATTAGTCTATATTATGATGCACAATATCAAGACCAATAAGTATTTACTCAAATTGTTACATATTGGTGCTAATTCTGTTGTTCGGAAACTCTCTAAACTAAACCAAAAATCACAAAAAAAAATTTTTGGTCTGTCAAATATTACGTTTTCAGAATAGGAAACGTTCTTTGACAGAACTAAACAATTTTTTTTAACTAAAACTAAACTAAACAAAGTTGTGATGAATGATAATAATACTTTAGAATTAAAATAGGTTCAGCACAAGATCTATATTTTTCGTCTCATATATCTTGTTAGCCAATAATCAGTTCAGTTTTTTATAATGGGAAAATAATTGTTCTCTTATAATAATATAAAACGCAGTAGCTAATTGTCTTAAAATATGGTGCTAGTTTTCAAAAACACGTCTAATAGAATATACTACTATATACTAATATACACTTATAAATAATATTTAGAAAGAGAAAACTAAATAAATATACAGATCTTTGATATTTATTACTTTTCTGCTGGTGATAAACGCCTGGAAACCGATCGAAGTGTGTTCCGTGATCATGTAGTGTTCTCGTGTGTAAAACAGCAGTAGCGCATATTACTCGAGTGCGCATGCCGTCATGTCCGCCGTCCGCACACGGTCTATCGGGGCGGTGGCTGTGCGAGCAACGATTTCACCCCAGACACTCGATCGCTAGCTGGTTAGAAAGCACAGAAAGTCTCATCTGTCGATCTCAGAATATACTATATCTGCATGAGGGGGCGTTTACTGCGCCAGCGAGAAAACAGTGTTCATTTTATCATGTTACCAGCTTGAGCACGTTTTTCAAATAGGTACAGAGATTGAAGAAGGTTTGTAATTTTGATAGTAATGTTTTAAATACTTCATATCTTGTCTTAAGGTTTAAATATAACGGTTGAAAATAGTTCTATTGTTTCTGTGTTTATTTTCTATTTTACCAGAAATCTGTCACAAGACTATGAACGGGTATATTGTTATTGGCGTTGAGAGCGTAACACTCAATGGTGTAGTTCTCTGTAGATTAATATAAAACTGAATAAAATACAATGGGAATGCTAGTAGGCACTCGTACGACAGTAAACGGCAGAAGATAATAGACAATAGGCACAAAGTTACCAAACCGTTCCTGGTTTTTTTTTTGGTATCGTATGCTTCCCTCCGTATTTTTATAAAGGAATGCATACATACAAAGCGCGCAAAATGTGACACCAGTTTATGACTAATTATTTAATTCATCAAATATGCCATTAGCCAAACATCGTAAATACAATTAATTATTAGAAAAAAGTAAATATAGAGATATATACTTTCGTATAGAGTATTTATTTACTTTACATAAGTGTCTTTGAAAATATGTTCTTTTGAGAATCTACATTAATAAATTAATTTTATGCGAGTATAGGCAAGGCTTATTAGGTAGAATTAAGATTTTGAGACTTAGGAGCCACGGATTAACATCCGAGAAAGGGAAAGGGGAAATTAACAGCCAATACAGAGACGACTTACATCAGTCACGACATCCGCACATATTTGTACATATATTTTAAATTAAACAGTTGCAAAAACCAAAGCATACTCACCTAAAACATGCCAGAATGAAAGGCGTAGCCTAAAGTAGATTCTTCTATGAAAACGAACTCATCATATTGGGTGTATAATGGATATTCGTACTTTTACTTTACTGAGGATCGTAAACAAATTATAATATGTTGTATCGTATTTCCCTCCTTTTCTCGTTGATGAACGGTCAGCGTCAAACGGGTTGTACGATCGCCATCTTAGTGGTCAGCAAACTAATATCTTATTACTATGATAGAATTGAGAGAGTGAAGCAGACAAGCGTTACATATTTGTTGAAGCGACTGCGCCCACCTCCCACAGAAAACTGGGCTAGTCACTAACAAGAAAGCGGGCCCTCAGGCCTTTTCTATTTTCTGTAATCTGCGGCTATACATATAATAAAATCCGTTTCAAGCCCGTTCAATTAAGAGCATCCGACCGTAACCGTCATTTGAACAGTGAACAATCTACTTAATAAGAACCTGTGCAACACTTACTAACCACGAAAAGCCTATTGTGGTTTTATCAAGTAACCTATTCTCATATAATTTGAAATAAAACACTTGGAAACTTAAAGTTTTTCCCTATGATTTAATTTAAATCAAAAGTGGTCGACTGCATTTGTTTTATTACTCACGTATAAAATAAAAAGTAAGTTCTAACTTTTTCTTCCAGATACTTAAGGCATTCTTCTTCTATCACAGTGGCTTGTAGCATAGAATTTATCTCACCAAAATTGTACTTACATACTACGTTAACAGTTTTTACTAATTGCTTTTCTGTTGTAAGTCTTTATATTTTATAAAGATGACCAGCGGCATGGTGGTTACCAAGTGTGCAAAAAATACCCATTTATAATTGCTTGCTCGTCCATCTCTCCGATATGTTAAGAAAGACTATAGGGATCCCAGTTTCACATTAGTTTTAAACTACTTCAGTTCAAACAATAGGTCAGATGTTTAATTACGAAACTAGGTCTGGATTTTTCAGTAAAGTTTAATCCAAGTTACTGGTGTGCGACTCTGACATATTTGAGCTGTTTCTGACAGTCTCCAATCCATCGATATAAGCCACATCCCTTTTCTAACATTTCATGCCTTCTTACCAAGATTTCTGTTTAATTTCGTGTCAATTGTCTCATCTAATCCCTAAAGTGACTAGATAATGGCAATAGGTTTTTCTTTTATTACGTGTGTGTCCAAAATTATAGTTATCAAAATGTCGGTGTCTAAGGCGCCACGGCCCACTTATTCTGATACCCGAATAGGCGTGACATGAGTGTAAATATGTATTCTTACATTTAGTACGGTTAATTGAGTTGTTTTTTTTTAAATATAAATTATTAAACCATTCACGGATCCACTTAAACACACAAAAAAAATCATAAAATTCGGTCCAGCCGTTTAGGAGTTCAGTCACATACACACACAGAAGAATTATATATAAATATATATATATATAAATTATATTTTATATTCTCCTACACGGGAACAAATACGCCCACAGTAATAGCCAGTCTTTTTCAATTGTCTAATGAAAAAAAAACTCAATTAAAGTAAATTAATGTTTTATTTCAATTTATTAATAAGAATTTTACATTGTTTTTGTGTAAAGTTACAAAAAGGAACAGAACAGAGACAAGGTCTATTTTTTTATACTTTTCTTAAAATTGTTTTTTTTTTGGTATAAGGGGGCAAACGAGCAGAGGGGTCACCTGATGGTAAGCACCTACCGCCGCCCATGGACACCTGCAACGCAAAAGTCACAAGTGCGTTGCCGCCCTTGGAGTCCCTTCCGCTCAAATCAGCGGGAGAGGGGATTTGGGCTCCGGTAACCTGACTCACTCAGTGAAAGGCAACGAAAGAATTGCTTAACACCGGTTTTCTGGGAGGCCGTGGTATCACTCCGGTCGAGCCGGCCCATTCGTGCCGAAGCATGGCTCTACCTCTTTTCTTGAAAGCATTGTAGAAACGACTGAGAGCGTGAATTAAAAAAACACTAAAGCCCACGTATTTTATTTTTAATTTCCAAATTGTATTTTGCTTGTCTCACTTTCTTTCTATTTCTAACTCAGTAATCTCTAACTAACCTGTGTCCCTTACTATGATAATTATGGGGGCTTGTATTACTAATGCTATGCCTGCGGCGTGATTCGCATTGGTAAACGAATATCAACTCCAATGATCGAATTGATTATGTTGCTTCGCACATTAAAAATACATAAAAAGACATGAAAGAGATTTCACACGAGATGATCGACAAAAAGTACCGTGAGTCGTAACTTTACTCAGAACTTTCCTTTTCTGCCTCTTACTTATCTGCTAGTCAATGCATTCTTTCTTAACAAGAGTTGAAAATTGTACAATTCGGCCAAAATTTGGGTTGGAAGACGTCCCGTACCCGAACCCAACTTTCAGGTAAAGAGTGGAGTTATAATTGTTCCGTATAATTATTATTTAAAGAAGTTTAATATATATAATAACAACATTGAATAATTTGTCATACTCCGACGTTGAAGGCACCATTAGGGTAATAAGTAATTACTTGATACCGTAATTTTAATTTGTAACATTTTTTTTTCTATCCCACGTCATCAGTTCTATTTTTTAGATTAAAAGAATTCTTTATACGTTGTCAGAGCAACGTAGGCATGGGGTTTGGTTGTGGGGATATCACCGGTCTCCGGGACGGTCTTTGTTATAACTTCTTAAGCCCTAAATTTGTACATGTCACTGGCTGATGTTTAAAATAATAAATCTTTACTAAAAATATGAAAATTAAGTAACTATGCTTTCGTAGCTTTAAGCTGTTAAGAATTTCCTATATGTAAGTTGGCTTGCAGTTGGTTGAGAACGCAACATAAGTTAGTCACGTAATTTTTCTTATTTAAAATATTATAAACCTAGTAAAATTGTTGTAATCGTGCAGAGAATGTAGACTGTAGTATATTGTGAGATGAGGTCTAAATTGAGCTCGCGTGCTGCTCAAGAAAGCAGTCAAGTCACGTAAAGCAATTACACGGACACGTGATACTACACTCTATCTTGTCCTGGACACATCTTTACACTCTCCTTTCTGTCGAGAAAGTGACGTCATCTGGAAGAACGTGTTGGAAGAACTTGTCTTGATAAATTTTAAAAGTCTTTTGCAATCTACCAAGGAATGCAACTACAGTTTGAAACATACGAGCTACATTCATCATTGCCCAGTTTTCGCCTTTTCTCCCATGTTTATGATTATGTTCCCATGTATCCCATGTTACATTAACCCAACTATAATAATTGTCCATGAGAAATATGCCATACAATGTAAAAATATTTTTTCAAATAGTATAGACCTTTTTTTTTTTTCTTTTTTTTTGTTGACGGGGTGGAAAATCCCTTCGGATCTCCGGCTCCTCGGGGACTCAGGACCCAGGAGTATGTGGTGATTCCACTAAAAACCACCCCGACGGCCGGGCTTAGGTGTCCTACTCTGGGGAGGACCCGGACCATGTTATTTCAGGTCCTCCCCGAATTGACACCATGCCTAATCAGGCCCTATCCCAGGGGAGAACACTTCCCCCTTCAATCGCGGCATGGCGGCCCGATCGCATCTTAATGCAATCAGACCGGCCATTCCATTCCCTACCGCAGCAATCAATCTGCCACCAGAGGTCCCCACTCTCTGGCGGCCCGCGGCCCCGTCGACGGCTGATATCGCCGCCGACGTCTTCTACGTTCGGGATCGGCCCTCTACCGATCCCGTTCAGCGGTCTCTTTCTGGAGCATTACAGCTTCACAGAAAGAGACCACTGCGCCCCAGCCCTCCTCACCCGCCAGCATGGCAGCAATGATTGCTGGCGGGGACAGGAAAAATAGTATAGACCTAGTTCTAGAGAATCACATCACATCAACAGCCTTTAATAGTTCACTGCTGGACATAGGCCTCTCCTTAGAAAGGAGGTTTTGGCCTATTATATCACGCTGGCCTGATGGATTGGTATAGAGTTTGTGTCAAGTTTTCCTTCTCTTTGCAGTGTTGTTGTTCTGCATAGTTTGTTTCCTTAGTCGGCTCTTACGAGACTCACGGGATGAATTGGGGTGATGACACTCAATATTCTTAATCCGTCACCACACGAAACTTCTTGAGATTAGCGTGTTCATAAAAAAATAACTCTTTAACTTTATCATACATATTTTGGATGATCTGTTCCCACTTATTTAAAATGACCTTACAGCGCAGTTCAAAGTGCATCACGAACGATATAAGCGCCAATACCGAAACCAGTTTGAAGGAAAAGTGAAAGTACATATAAGGAACTGAATGGAGTGACATTTTAATACAAGGGATTGTTTCTTCATAAATACTTAAAATACTCTTACTTTATTTTTAAGGCTTAGGTTTTAAGATTTCTGTACTTTACGTATAGTTGATTTATTTTCTCGTGTATCCCAGTGTAGGGCAGGTATTGTTAAATACGTCCTTCAATAACATTGAATTTAAACTTTAAAGTGCCAGTTTTTCTCACAGTCAACCTCGCCCTGGCCCAAACAGCTAACAATTACCCTAATAAATATGGAAGAAATCAGGATGGTTTACACATAACGAATTTAAAAGGAAAAGGCCAAGGTTGCCCTGTTACTGTTAAGTCGCGCGACTTTGTAAAATGTTGGAAAATTTCATCTAAAATTAAATTTCCGTAGAATAAAATGGCTGACAAATTTGGTACTTATTTATAATAATGGATAATAATAAATTATGGTACCCTACAATGGCCGCGGCCCGACCTGCACTTGACCGGACTTTTTTATTGTTTGTCTTGTGTTTACATTATGTACGTACGTATATGGTAGTACGTATGTGTATTATTTATTTTTACATAATATTAGTACAAATTTGTAATTTATGGTTCCGTTTGCTTTTTCGTTGTACCCAATGTATGTTGTACTGCTGTACTACCTACTAATAATACCTACTTATAGTCTGTAAAAGTGTCTTGTCAAATCTTCCAAGCTAAACCAAATCTTCCAAATAAACAAATAAATATCTAAGGAAAATATAAACATTATATTTGCATACTGTACGATTAAAATGGTGCCGTATGTCACATTCAATTCTTGATTTAACCTTGATTTAATTAGAGTGGAACATTTGAAGATTGGAATATGAAACTTGGGGTATAATTTGATTTAAACGTGCAAATTGTATTGTGTTTCGAAGAAAAAGTTTTCAGTATTTGAAGCGATAGTTGCCTTTAACATTCTTTAAAATTAATCAGAAGATAGTCGTAGTTAATGAAGTTGAGACATACACCTGATATTAAATAGTTCGTATACGTTGAATCTTTTTAAAGGATAGAAGCTACATCTGGTAAAATACTGCTCTTGTTCCATCATATTCTACAAGTATTCCATGATAAGCCCTACATTAAGAGTTGACTAAACCTTAGCAGCTAGTACATAAATAGTGTAAAAAAGATAATTTTTCAACAGTACTTATCTGACGGTACAGTAAATAGTGAAGCTCATAGTTCGATTCACCACGCACTCTGATATTACGCAATAATGAAAAAAAAAACAATTGAAACTCAGATGCATGTTACATTACACGTTCAGATTTTCATTGCGGAGGCAAAGTTCAACAACCGAAACAGAATCGTCGTTTGCAACTAAAGAAAACCAAACAATTATATCCATCACTGGCAATATTTTTCTCAGATTACATTAATTATAGTTAAACTTGAAAATTTAAACTAGACCCATAAGGATGATTGGAATTATAACCTATCAAATTAATCCTTTTTTGGAATAAACCTCTTAATTTTAATTTATTTTTTATGATCTAATTTTATATGACATCTTGATAAATAAAAATGATGTCAGCGGTTTGCGTTTTACTAAGTTGGCAAATATATTTACGTCGCACCGAATAGAAACTTATAATGTTTCAAACCTTAAAAACGGTGGATTAAGATTTCAAACCCGAAACCTAAGTTTTGATAAAGTTTCACCTCCAAATTTAATAGACTGATCTTGAAAATCTAAATTTCTGCAATCAAAATCTGATGCACATATTTTAAACAATTGTGCAACTTCACAATTGCGTATTCAAATACCAAAGCCCTGTAAGTATACATAGTCCTAAAATTACTCTAAACGCTTGCTAAGTAACTTTCGACTAATTAAGTATGTGTGTTCGCGATGCTATGACTTTTAATTGGCCAGTAACGAGCTGAAAGTTTTTTTTCAAATTAATGAATGAGAATCGCTTAGAAGATCAACTTTTCTTCGCTTTTATTATATTAGCATACATACATTACATTTAGAAAGCGAGCGTGTATTTGTGTGCGCATTTGTTAGCTATTGTCTCAGCGTAGAAGGAAGTTAATAAACCAAACTGAAGCAAAATAAGACCCGTATCCGTAATACTGTAAATTTCTCCCGCACAAGTCGTAAAAGACGATACCTACATAATCTATGGCTATTGAAGCGTTTCTAAGGAAATACATAATTTGCTAACGTGCACAATCGCAAGAGCTCCAATGATATGAGACTTGAATTAATCTGCGAGTACGTAAAACAAGGCGTTGAATTGTTTTACTAGCTTTCATTTGTAATGAAAAACTGCACTTGTCATTTTTATCGTTATGTTTTACGATGATTGCAATTTTCACTTAAATTAAGGGTTAAGAAACTTACATGAGAATCTCGTACAAGATAAAGCATTGTTAATTTAATACACTTGTTTAATTAAATAGTGTAGTTAAGCCTTATGTGATAATGATGTACCTCACAAAGTATTAGAATCCTTTTTACCTCAAATTTCTCTACATTTTTTGAGACTATTTATAACATTGATGTACGTATTTGAAACCGTTATGTAAAAAAATATTTAGATTTATCTAGCTTAAATAATTGTACAAAGATTTCTAGTTTTCGATTTCATTTTAAAACATTTGCGAATTTAGATGAGAAAATGTTTTAAATGATTATTACTTAAGTAATAAAAAGTTACAGTTATTCAATTTTGTCATTATAATGTAGGGAAGTATAGTGGTTGTGTACTAGTCAATTATAAAGAAAACCACGTGTGACCTTTCTAAAGCCGTAACTTAATATTCACGACAATACCATATAAAACGGCAGACATTTGTCCGTGATCTTTTAACGCCAAATTCTTGCCTCAATCGGACAATGTGTTACAATTTCTAATATAAGTTTTCAAATCACGCAATGGCCGTAACCCGTGGTGAAATAGGTACCATGAATTGATGATTAATGAATTATATAACCTTGAAAAAATTACAAAAATATATACAAGTAGGTTCATTAAATTTGAACGTGGACAAAGAAATGAATAAGAAAATGACACCCAACTAGGTAGATTCGAGTTACATTTGGATATACAAATTTAAAAGCTCTGCGGATCAGCATAAAGTATTTTTTTTTAATTGTATAACTAAGCAATACCTACTGGAAGTTTTTTTTTCAAGTAGGCATGACATGATAATATTCGGTATGCGTAACTGAACATTTGCGTATCGAATACACATTGCAGTGACGTATTGATTAGGTGATTCGCTAAAGACCAACGTGGGCTCTCAAGGTTACACTACGCAACACTTTCACCGATAGCTTCAGTTCGTTGCTCTCCGAATTCAGCGTCTCCGTAGTCTCTGTATCAATGGCGACACGCTCGAGCTCACACCTTAGGGCGTCCTCAAATACACCCAAACAAAACTATACTCAAGGGTTATGATCATAATATCTAATTTCAAATGTTTCCGGAGCACCTTCAAGATGCTATCCGTTGACGTTTTCGTTCAATGCCCGTGTCAATGGTATCGAGAAACGTAACGTGGCCCACTTTCTCTTTTAAGCACACGCTGTCTCTTTCTTCATTTTGTATACGGAGCTCTGAGAAGCGAGACGGTTATATTCAAAACGTTTCGTTAGGGAAGCTGGGCTCGCTTTCTTCGCAGCACTTGGCATTGGAGCTATACAAAATCCGGTAACTTTCGTTGGCTACGAGCGATTGTGTAGATTCTGGCCAGTATTAGTGCCGGTTGGGCCGCGACGTCTCGGTACAATTAGCCGGTCTTTCATGGTTACGTAACGATTATTTTATCAGTTTGGTAACACAAAGTATTTGTTGATCTCAGATTATGTAGTCAACTTAATCTAATAAGAGACTTAATTAGTAATACATATGTTACGCCAT